TAATATACGCTTAAACACGCTTATTCATATTGGATATTGATTGAAATAAACAAAGGAACAAATTTTGTAGTGGAATGTGTCAATGAGACATTGATTCATGCTGGCATGCTTGATATATTATGAAAAATTAAATTCTTAATATAATATTAAATATAGTCAACTGAAAATGCTTTTTAGACACAAAAATGACGTTTGTTTTCACTTATATATCAACAAAGGTCATCTTTTGTAAAGACAAATGAGAATAAACAGCATATAACACCATTTGGCATACTAATTGTTAAACCATCGTATTTCCACATCTGATTAAATATAACGTCCATATTTATTTTAGTTAAATATCCTAAATTAATTTCTTTTTTGTAGCATCAAAAATTTTATACTTTCGTCAGACTTTCACCCAAATGAAACAAAGATTTACTCTTTTAGATTTAAGAGCAACAGTAAACGAACTAAACGAAAGACTTACCAATACTTTCATTCAAAACTTCTATTCAACACAGCAGAGGTTTATATACATAAAGTTTTCCAACAAGGACACTTTACTCGTTGAACCAGGATTTAGATTCCATTTAACTCAAAATGCAGATTCGGAAATTTCACATTTTTGCAAAAAATTAAGAGAGAAGTGTAGACATGCACGAGTGCATCGAATTTACCAATTTGGATTTGATAGAATTGCCATTATAGATCTTCAGAGAGTCAGAATTGTCATAGAGTTCTTTAGTGCAGGAAATATGCTAGTATTAGATGAAAATGATCAGATATTGGAATTGCTCAGACCAGTAGAAGAGCTTGGAATCATCAGACATAGCAAATATGTGTTTAATTCAGTAGACATAGACCTTTCATTCAATACTTTTAAGGAATGCAATAATCTTTCGAGTATTTTACCTTTTGAAAAAGAGTATATAGAGGCTATTAAAGAAAGAATTCAAAAATGAGCTTGGGGAAGATCTAGAAAATCTGAAGAGAGAAGAGCATAAAGATAACGTAGAAAAGTTTTTTAGCACATTTAAAGAAGAAATAAGCCAGATTGGATGGTTTGGGGAAGTTACACTCATTAAAGATAGGCCAAATCAATTATTCGCTTTTAAAACTGTACACAATGCACTTGAAATTAGTAAAATAGCAAAAAATGCAAATATAAATGAAACAACATTAAAGGAGGATGAACATATGTAGAGAAAGAGCTTAAAAATCTTAAAATACATACGAAAATTTCAATTAATCTCAAAAATAAAGAAGAGATTGAGGAGTTATTATCTAGAACTAAGGGCGTAAACGCCTTACACTTTTCATCATTTAATGAAGCCGCTGAATATTACTTTTGTGATTCTCAAAAGAAAAAGAAGATTAAAGAAGACAAGGGCACTAGGATTAGAAAAGCACAAGAGAAGTATATTGGTGAACTTGAAACACAAGCTGCAGGATTGAAAGAGACAACGGAAATACTTAATGAAAATAGAGTGTTCATAAATGAGATTTTGGGAATTTTTAAAAAAGTATTTGAGACTAAAATGGAATGGAGTGCATTTGAGGCCTTTTGGGAAGAAGAAAAACGAAATGGAAATCCATATGCCAAGGCTATTGTGAGCTATGATTTAAGTGAAAGAAAATGCATAGTTTTAATAGATCATCGATACATTGAACTTGATGTTTCCATGCCATTGAGCAAGAATATCGAAAAGTATTTTTCAAAAAGAAAAAAGGCACTTGACAAAAGTGATAAAACCAAAGCCGCATTAGAAAACATTGTGGACAAACTCATTCCAAAAAAGGCAATAGTTCCGGCACAGAAAAGAGAACTCTATTGGTTTGAAAAATTTCATTTTTTCATTAGTACAGAAAATGAATTGGTGATTGGAGGAAAGAATGCACAACAGAACGAAATTATAGTCAAGAAGCATTTAGAACCAACTGATTTATATTTCCACTGTGATATACATGGCGCAAGTTCAATAGCATGCAAAGGAAGAAGTGAAGTAACCATTGAAGAGGCATCTTACATGGCTCTATGCATGTCAAAGTGTTGGGATGAGGGTGTTATAAAGCCAGTATTTTATGTCGAACCTGATCAAGTATCAAAGTCAGCACCTAGTGGGGAGTATATTACAAAAGGATCGTTTATGATAAAAGGCAAGAGAAACATAATGAATCCTTACAGACTTGAATATGGAATTGGACTTTTATTTAAATTGGAAGGCTCCCAAAACATTCTTGAATTTTCAAGTAACCCAGCAGATGATGCTAAAATTTTGTATGGATTGCCAGTTTCAGCACCCTGGATTTGTGTTAAAAACTATAAATACAAAATAAGACTTTGCCCAGCATCTGAGAAGAAGTCAAAATTATGTCAAGACATCAAAACAAGCTTTGAAAGTCTTTCAGAAGGAACTCTAGAAGAAAAATATGTAAAATCAATAGGATTAGATGAGTATATGAATGTAGTTCCCGGAAAATCCAAAATTGCTAAGCTTCTCAAGTAAATATTAAAAAGCTAATTTAAAGAGAGAGTATTTTTAAAGTGCCAATATCATATGGATAATAACAACTAAGTTAGTTAGATAATTGACAAACAATGAGATATGTTACAAATCTGCACTTCTTTAATATTAGCCTTTAAATTGCTTTTTACAACAACAAAGCAATAAATGTGCTATAAAACCTATTGATTTTTATTCAAGCCTCATTTAACTGATATTTATTAAATGTGTTTTCAAATGACATCGTCTTTTAAGTATTCTCGGCGAATAATTCCATAATGTTTCCTTGAACCCTTACAATGAGTCCTGAACTACAGAAAAAAATTACAAAAGCAGAGAAGCTTAGAACAAAAGCAGCATTTCCTCTTTCACTTATTACGGAGCCGGACTACGTAGAAGCCGGGGATCTATACTGTGAAATAGCCAGGGAGTGCAGTGATTTAGAGGATAAAATCAAGTTTTATAATGAGGCTGCCATAACATTTTTGAGAAAAAAGGCAGAGTACAATGAATATAGAGCTTCCGAGTGTTATAAGAAGTTGTTTGAACTACTTGTTAACCAAGATGTTACAGCAGCTGTTGAGAACTACATTAAATATTGTGAATGCTTAGAAAGGATTGAGAAATACATGCTTGCTGGACAAGGATACACAAAGATAGGTGATATTTTAGAAGAAATAGATGGAAAAAGGGCAATTGAAATGTATAGAAAAGCACAGGATGCATATTCAAAGGATTATAGTTGTCCTATGCATTATAAAGAGGCAGTCCAAAAATGTCTTACTATACAGATAAAAGGACAGGATATTGAAGGCGCAATTGAGTCTTTAAAGATGCTAGATATAGAATTTAGCAAGTTATGCATACAAATACTAACATTGTTATTGGGAAAGACGAATTTCGAAGAAGACCTTAAGAAAGATGAGAGTGAGTTGATAATGACACTACTAAACAAAGATAGAGACACGAGCATTGAGTCATTACGACAGTTCAAAGAAAAAAACTTTATCAATCCTATTATTTCTAAAATTTTTGATTTTGCAATTGATAGACTCCAACCAGAAAATGATATATGCTAAAACGACAGCATTTACACTAAATCTATTACATTATTTTGTTCAAAACGATTATTTTTATCATGGATATTTTAATCATTTTTAGAGATTATCAAAAGCTTATTTACTTGTGAAAATCAAAAGTGCATCAAAAGAATAAAAACAATGCAGTGGTAACAAAAGAGGACATACTTTCTTAGATAGCTTATTAAAGTATTTATAAGAAAAACCATACCTTTTCCTTTTTATAAAGATTTTATAAACATTTGGACAAAAGCATTCAAGAATGGTTAAACTAATATAAAAACACATGAATAAACAATAAAACAATCAATAGCTCTTCTTAATAGCTGTTGAGAAATAAGGTTTACATTTTAACTATCAAACTAGCCAGAAACACCATCTCAAACCATCTGTCAAATTTATCAAGATTCGCTTGGAGCCATAAAATTTTCACCTTATTAAATATCAAGTAAATATTGTTTAAAGCCTGTTTATTTATTTTTTAATATTTAATTTTATCAACAAATATATCACAAAAGATGCATTTTAAACATTGCCTGATTTCAAATTTCAATTTATTTTCATTTTTTCTTGATTTTTCTTTGTTTTTTAAAGCTTTTGATTTTAAAAATTTTCAGCTTCCCCTCAATGGTCAAAAGAATAAAGGACAAGAATGCGCCAAAGAGACCTTTGACAGGATTTTTATTGTACGGCAATTATTTGCGTGCAAGTGATGAAAATATTAAGACCCTTCCTGTCACTCAACAGGCAACAGCCATTGCCCAAATGTGGAAAGAGTTGAATGAGAGTACAAAACAAAAGTACAATCAACAGTCAGAGAAACTCAAAGAGCAGTATAAGAAAGCTATGGAGGCCTACGAGAAGAGCGATGCCTATAAGGAGTTTCAGAAGACACTTGCCGAGGACAAATCTGGAAATAGCAAAGGAGCCAAAAAGAAGAGACAAGGATCCACCAAAATGTCAGGCTATCGACTTTTTGTGAAGGAAAATAAAGACAATGTTGATGATGGGCTAAATGAAGAAGATGCAGGAAAGAAGCACATTGCAAAGTGTGGAATGAAATGGAAGAAACTTTCAGAGGCTGAAAGGCAGGCTTACAATGACCGAGCAGCTCAAATGAACCCTGAACAATTAGCTAGCGGGGACCACGCAATGACTGATGATGAGGAGTAGTAAAAGTATTTTATGAAAGCAGAACCTTGATTTATCTTTATAACTTTATTAGTTTTTAAGGTATATGGAAAGTACCAGCAATTATTATTCATGCAACAAGACAGTGCATCTCTTAATAAAGTTAAAGGTATTAAGTTTTTTAGACTTTTTTCAATTTTCTTTGACAAAGCCTTAATTAAAAAATCAGTGAATAAAGCCATTAAAATATTTTAAATAATACTCTGCCTTATTTTATCAAATACTTACGTACCTTTATTTAGTATTTACTTATTTTATCTAACTCTTTGGCTTTGATGCAATTCTTTGGCTAGGTCTTTGCCTTGGTCTACGTTCTTTCACGTAGTCATCTTTGGCAACAGAAAATGCAGAGCAATGCGTTCTTCGTTCATTTTTTGAATAGGGAATATAAAACTGGTCTTTGAATGATACTTCTTCCTGTTTGGAAGATTCAATCTTCTTAGCCTTCATTTTCTTAAGTTCATCAGCAAGAGTGTTCCGTATTTTAAATTTTGAATGCACCTCAAAGCTTTCAACAAGGGATTTAAACTCAGCGGGAACACTTACTTTTCTTCTAAAATCTAGGCATCTTTGATATCCTCGCATAGCAAGATATTTTAGATGATCGAGATCACTCAAATCGTATTTGTCCAGTAGATTTTGTGGAATTGTCCCAATTTCAACACTGTTTAAATGGGTTTCTTTAATATTAAAGAAATGGAAAACATCAGAATACGTCACAAGAGAGTATTGCTCCCCCATTCCTCTAACACGACCAACACGATGAACAAAGGTCTTTTCATCACTCAAATCATATGAAATTGAAACATCAAGATGAGGAATATCCAATCCACGAGCTGCAACATCAGTAACGACCAATATTTTGATCTTTCCACTCATAAATTCACCAAAACTCTCTTTTCTTGCATCATCGTCCATACTTGAATATATTCCTTTAGCTTTATATGAAAATTTCTCAAGAACCGCAAGGAGAAATTCTACGCCATAGCGTGTAGCAACGAAAACAATAGTCTTCTTTGTTCTATCAAGAATATTTAACAGCGCATTCTCCTTACTTTCACTAGGAACATAAAAGAAGTAATTTTGGATATGCTCAGGTATCTTACTTTCTACCTGCACAATTGGAATGTCTAACGGCTCGTCTGGAAGGGTTGCACTGAAATACACCTTTTGACACGCTACCTTCTCCGAAATGCTCTCGAAAAACGCATTTAAAGAAGGTTCTTCGAGAATTCTGTCTATCTCATCTACAACCAACAATGAAATGTCTTTTAGTTCCATGCTTTTCAAGGTTGTAATTACAACAGTACCAGTCAAAGGAACCTGGTTTGAGAGGATCTTAAAAATAGACTTAACCTGCAGCACAAGCTCTTTTGTAGGGAGTAGTATCAGTGAATTTTGATTGTTTATAGCATTCATAATGACAGGAATAAGATAACATAGTGTCTTACCACTTCCAGTTCTAGCAATACCCATAAGGCTTCGTCCTTCCATCACCAAAGGAACAGTCTTTCTTTGAATCGGAGTTGGATTGTCAAATGGAATGTTCTTTAAGAGTTGTGGATGCAATCCCATAGTTTTGAAAGAACCAGCTTTTATCCTTTTCACTTCGGTCATTTGGGAGAAAAATTTGTTAACAATAAAAAATAACAAGGAAAAATCAAATACTACCCAAAATTTTAACACTGTGCAATCTATCTTTTTATCCTACTGCATAATTACATGTTATAAAATACACAATATCGTTTATGTCTCATTTTGTACTTCTATGAAATATAATAGTAGTTTAACCCATTATTAATGACATTACATATCTCCGATGGTGCAGTGGTTAACATATCAGCCTGTCACGCTGGGGACCCGAGTTCAATTCTCGGTCGGAGAGCATTGTTTTCTACCACCTTCTTACTATTTTCCAATCATTAAAATTAAATACTATTTATCATTTACAATACAAAATAATATCAGATTGATGCATTCTAACTAGTTTTATGTGAAATGTTTATTTAAAGAAGCTCGTTGAACTCAGGTTTGTTAACAATGACAATATTCTTTGACTTTCCACCCTTATTTTTGAATTTTAGCATTGTTTTCATACTCTTTGAAAGTGAAAATCCCTTTGTTTGTGCACTGATACAGAATTCTCTTAATTCTGACCTTAATTTCTTTGGAAATTGAGAAATGTAAGAGTCAACAACCTTAGCCATTTCATTGTAGAAAAAAGTATATTTTGAATTCAAAATGATTAAATTAAATGCTTTGAGAATGTGCTTAGCAACGTCCTGGGAATGCATTGATACAAATATCAGTGCATTCAATAAGGAATTAACGACGAAGTCCCTATTAATATCGTTATTATGAGAATAAATATACTCAGTGTTCGAACTTGTATACTCCAATACTATCTGTGCAGCATTAATACAACCACATATCAATGGAACATCATTGCTTTTGTCGGACATGTGATCTAGCAAAAACTTTAAAAAATACTGATCGTCAATCATTTGAATGATAATTTCTTTAGCAACCTTTTTGCATTTGTAATTGCCCACAAACAGTCCTTTGATAATCTCAGAAAGAAATTTGTCTACCATTTCAGCCTTGTTCTCAACTTTACAGCCAAGACAGCCGTTTTTTAATATTGAATGTAATAGTAATATTCTGTTCTTTTCAGCTGCCAAATTCATAGTTTTAATCAGTGATGAGTATAAAATATCACAGATACAAACACTCGTTCGTTTCTGAGAGTATATTTTATACAAAAGTTGATATGATTTCTTTTGAATTGGGACTGCTTGGAAGGAGCACAGTTCCAAAAGTCTACTTATGAAATCAAGGTCGAATGTATTTCTATCCACAAAAAATATCATGAGTCTTAGTGCGTCATAAAGGGACAAGGCCTGATCCTGCACATCATCAAGAATGACTGGGATAATTCTATGAGAAAGGTCAACGTTGCAGAGTTTTATTAGCATTTGAAGAACCACTTCACAGTCAAGAGTATCATTTTGAATGTGCTTGTCAATTAAGTCATATACAATACCGCATTCTTTAACTGAGCTTAATATTAATATCGATTCCTCCTTAGAAATTGGATTGTTAAGTTGCAGAGTATTTGTAAGATTTTCAGTGTGGGAGTAAACAAGTTTTTCAAGAGCAGAACACACAATAGTTGGGTGTGTGTTAATATGGACTTTAAAAATTTTCATCAAATTTGTGTGGTTTTTCAAATAATCAGTACAGTAATAGCAGAAACTGGGCAGACATGCCATTAAACAGCCAAGTGAGTCACTCTGTGAAGATGAAGTTATACAGGAAAGTGGTTCTGATTTGGAATAGTCAATCTCTATGCTTTCATATTCAGTACTACGTGAATACACACGGTATAATCCAAAGAATACACCAAGATCAACGTTTGAGAGTCCTTTGAAGACTAAAAAATGTTTGGAAATATCAACAGAACCAACAACATCAACAAAATCCTGTATTTTTATGTAAGAAATCATATTTTGTAGAAGTTTTTGGTACTTCTTCTCTTGTAAAAATTTTTCATTAATATTAATCAATATGGATGAGAAAGCAGGAAGAATGTGATCGGACAGTAGCGAAAACAAGTCAATCAAATCATTCTCTGAATTTTTTGATTCAACTACTTCGTGGGTGATGAGATCGATCAGCTTTGTTGTAAAGATCGACCCAAGTTCTGTTCCACCCATCAACTTTAGCTTGTTAATGTTCTTTCTATAAAATGCTAAAGTCAAGGTTAGAATTTCGAGATTCTCGGGTGAGAATGGAGCCATAAGATAAATTATTGACTTTAGTACATCAATGTCAACGAATGAGTCTTTTGTATATTTGGCTCTCAAGAATGACAGAAGCAGCCTGCTTAAAGTAGCAGAATCTAATGCTGATCTATTTGAAACTATAAAATGCATAACGTCAAAATCATCCATAAAGACATCCATGCTATTTTCAAGAATAATAACTTGCTTTTCAAAATCGCATGTGTCAAAACAATCAGAAACTCTAAAGTGCTTTACAATAAAGTTACTTACTCTTTTGATTTCTATGTTTTTGAGTAAAATTTGAAATAGCTGGTAAAGCTCCGAGTTTTCGCATAGCGAATTCACAGAATTCCACGTCTGAGAATTTTCTTGAAAAACTGAATGTAGAATTGTACAGCATGGAGAGGGGTGTAAAGGAATGCACAGTGAAATTGCTTGAAGGAATGTTCTATTGAGGGTATAAGCCTTCATTTGGACGGCAACATCCAACAATTCTTTAAAATCCCTTTTGTTTCGGTTGTAAAGCTCTATTACGGTTTCAAAGCAGGCATTTGCAATATTTTCCGGAATTGGTTGTATTTTCTTTGAGAGCAGCACCGTTTTTATCTTTTCCAGCAAATTGAAATCAGCTTTGTTCATGGATAAAAAATTTCCAGGATATAAAAATAAGCCAGCAAAGCATTTTGCTAATAAAATAGATAGCTGCTTGCTATATAAGAAGAGTATTGATCAACAATGCAACGCATGCTTGGAAGTTTGTGCTGCTGCTTTCAATATTAACATTTGATTTATAATAGCTTTTAATAAGTAGTACATTCATTTAAACTTGTGTTTGTGCTAGTAAGATTTTAATTAGTTTCCAAGCCTTCATTCTCAATTATGGAAATAACTGTCAACACTATTGAAAAAGAGTTCATTGCTGAGGATCTTTCTAGGTTAGGACAATGCCAGTCATTCAAAATGCACAGTCCCAAAATATGTGCTGTATTTTCCAACAGCAACCAACCACTTTCATTTAAATGCAATACTGTACAATCAAAACGTCAAAATCAATCACATAACAGTACTGCAACATCACAGTTCATTTTTATTAAAGAGCCCTTCTTTTTCTATACTCCTCAATTTCTGCCATTTTTCTTTTACGCTCATTTTCTTTACTTTCTCAATTCATCAATCTTTTCTAATACTTCAGAATCTTCAACTTTCAAGTCAACCGCCTTTTTAATATCACCCCTTTCAAGAAGAATAAGAGCCTTTGTCTTTTTCAAACGGTCAAGCCCTTTTTCGATGAGAAAATCAATCATTCGTAAATCTTTTGTTTTCTCAACTAAACACAGCAATGCCTTTTCATCAGATTTTGAAAGCTTGACTGATGACATTTGTAAAAAACAGTCAACTGCCTTAGCATAATTTTTTTGAAGTAAATAACAGAAACCAAGATTCTTAAATGCACCTGAAAACTCAGAAGTAATCTGATTGAATAGCTTTATGGCAACAGTAATATTGTTTTTAAATACTGCACAAATGCCTAATCCATTAATGCATAATGGGGAGCTAGTAGAAGATCGGAAGACTGCCTCTGCCTTGTCAAGCAAACTAGTATCCAGGCAATGCGATCCAGTAAATTCATCCAAGAGCTTATTTCCAACAAATATTACACAAAATGGATCATTCATGTCATGCACTAGACTTTTGTCTCCTGTCAAATATGCTCTCAATTTAATATCAGATGTGCTGATATTGTTTTTTAAATAATCACAATAAAGATGGGCCTCTGGCAGACTACACTCTTCAAGCAGTTTGACATCTCTTTTTGATACTCCTAAGTTGTACTTGACAAATTCTAAACGGTTGAAATCAATGTTCTTCATCAAGTTTTGGAATATTTCAATCGATGTGTCGTTATCCATTAGAATGGCTTTGTTATTTTCTAATGCAACATGATCAATGTACTTGGAAATACTTTTCATTTCAGGTATAGCAGATTTGTTCATATTTCTAGCCTGTATAATAATCCAGCAAAGTTTTCTTACAAAATCAGAGCAATCATTCAAATCAACATCAAAAACTAGATTTTTTAGGGAAACAATTGCATTAAAGTCTCGAATGGCTGTACATTTATGCTTACATTCAACAAGTTCGTTTTTTATCCGTGATAGATTGAACTTTGCAGGTAAATAGTCTATGTCAAGGCTTAGTGCCTTTTCGTACCACTGAGCTGCACTTTCATAATTTTCTAATATGTGGTAGATCTTTCCAATATCGTACAATATTTGTGGAGAGCTGACACCCTCACATATTAAAGCATTGAGCTTGTCAATTAGCCCATTCAATATCATAGCATCCGTTGAACTGTCAATTTCCTGCTCAATATGTTTTATTTTTATATCCACGTTTTCCTTGTCATCAAACACATCTGATTTGCCAATTATATAAAGAAAATTGTTGTTATCAACGCTAGCATCAAATTTACTCCAGTTCTTTGAACTGAAATAACACTTAACTATTGGATCGTTGCTAATTGACATTTCTTTTGTGTCCTTTTTCATTACTGCACATCTTTCCAGTCCATTTTTATAGCCTATTTTTTCAAAACAAAACTCAGCATCTTCAATTTGGTTCATATTAAGAAGAAATACTCCCCTGAGAAAGTCGACTCTCTTGTCATCAGATGATTGTAGTTTTTCAAGAAGGGGTTTAACATCCAATTTGTGCTGAATCATAAGCCCAGCTTTTTGGATGTCCACATTTTCTTGTTGGAGTTCTGAACTGCATCTTTTTTCAGCCATGTCCAAAAGGCACTTGGCTTGGGCATAATTTGATCTTATGCTGTATGACACATCTAAAATATCCTCTAAGCTGTGATGATTTAGTGCTTTGCCTACTAATTCAAATGTTTCATGGTCCAAGACAATATCCTTTGTAATTTCAATTTCTCTATTTGATTCCAAAGAGATTTTAACCATGGGCAAATTTTTATAAGAGATTAAGTTGATATGAAAGGCAAGCACACCACCAACGACAGCACAAGTTAAAAAAACAACTCCGGCACGGCTGCCTCCATTTTTATGCATATACTGGAAACTGCCCATTTGTCAGAAAGACATGCAGTTTTATTTGTTTTAGTAAACAATAATATGAACTTATGAATATGATACACAACAAAACGTTGTACATCAGTCAAATATTCATGTACAGTTCGCATTTAATCAAGCTAGCCATTGCAGTACAGCATGAAAATGCCCTTTAACACTACCCTCTCCTGTTTTCTACAATTTTATCAATCAAGCACGTGCCGTCATTTACAAAATTATTTCCATCTACAAACACTGCCATGTAGTCTTTAGAGACTTTCTCTTCCTCCTCGTTGCTGTCCAGAAATGTCAAAAGACTATTTTTACATTCTTTTATCTCAGCAGATAGCCTTTTCATTGTTTCTTCTATGCCACTCTCATTGTAATCTCTTTGAATAAGGCCTATGGCATTGTAGTATAAAAATAACAATTTGTTTACCTCTTCTTGGAGTTTATGAAGATTCATAGGGTAGACAAAAAGAGAGTAGATTGTAAATCTACTTGCACTCAGCGTGACAAAAGGGATGAGTACCCAACTAAGGGAACTGAATAGAATCTACTTGGTACACCACGAAATTGCATGCTCTAATCTACTGCATATTGACTTTATTTTCTCTTAAAATTTTGTGAAAAATTTTCACCCACATGCTGTTTGTTGAATTGGGAAGGGAAGTGTCACCAAGAAGCCTTAAACTTCGTAGTGTTAAGGCTGTAATCACTGGAATTAAGGACGAGAAGTTTGTTGTAATTCAGAAACAGGATAGGAGCTTTGAGGTTGTAAGATTGAAGGATATTGTTCTGAATGATAAAGTGTACGATCTAAATGAGCTAAAAGACCCCAACCACGAGTTCTTCAAACAAGTAGAGACTGCAAAGAAATGCAATGATTTTGATAGATTTAAGATGGATCTTGAAAAGAGAGTCATTGAAGAGTTGATCAAAGCTAAGGGCATTGATAATTAAATTATTAATTCAAAGCATAAACACTTTATGCAAATACTTTGATCAATTATTTAATGCTAAGTGGGTTGTTTTGTTTATATTTCTATTAAGGCCTGTCTAGCTTATTGCTGGACCATGCCCGAAGACATCAAACAAGCTGCAGACCAGCAAATGGCAACTCGACAAATTGGTGTGCGTTCAAGTGTGGTTGAGAGTGTTTACTTACAGTTGGAGCTGAGAAAGGTCCTTCAGACCCACCACAAGTTCCCCACAACATTCGTTTATCCAGTAGGTCGACTTTGCTTTGAAGGCATCACCTACTCTGGATCTATCACGAAATTTACAGTCATCAAAGAGAACATCAAAGAAACATGGAAAATCAAATTAGATGGCAGCACATCATTCGAAGACTCGCTTTGTTATAGCTTGGGCGATGCATTTTGTAAGTACTTTAGCAAATACTGAATGAAATGGTCAAAGAAAGCTTAATATTAACTATTGACAATCCAACTTCGACTGTTAATTCATATGCATAGGACTTTAAATAATTAGGGTGTGCTTTCATGTAAGTAAATACACTAGTCTTTGTAAGTGACCTACTTTAAGATAAAGCCTTTGAACAGCTCCACCACAAAGTCTTCCAACATTTTCCTATGTAAAATATATTTTGTTTCCTTTATGCAAACACCCCACTTTTGTTTTTAACAATAAACCCTCCTATCATTAACCGCTGAAATGGTCGGGTGTTTGACAGTAAGCATTCAGCCAATTGCACTTTCATTGGTTGTGCAAAAAGGTTTTATTCGTTTATGTTCTACGAACAAATTTTAAAACATAGGTTTTAAAATGAAATACTAAACAAAATTACGAAGCTGAGCAGCTCTGCACTAATGAAGAATATCGACAAGGAAATTGAAAGGATACTGAACAAAGAGTACAAGGAACAGATAAATGAAAATGAGACTGTGAATTTTGTAAGCGAGAGCCTTGGATTGGACAAAAGCACAGAGCATATTAGCTTTGAAGACGATAGAAATAGATTGGGAGAAAAGCCTATGGGTATAACTCCTAGAGAGGAAAACATAGAAGGTAATCGCCAAGGAGACTCATTCAAGAGTAATATATTCTCACAGAAGCCTTTTACACAGCCACCAGCAACTGTGCCTGAAGAAGTCTTAGTTAACTTAAGGAACAGCAATATAGGACTGATAGATTTAGAAGTGCTATTGGGATTAAGCAGAAAATCAAATGGGAGTGAAGAGGAGGAGTCAAATGGCGGGATTCAACCTAAGATTTCTAGAATTTTTGATGATGTTCCAAATGATGTGGTATCAAATGCAGTCAAGAAGCCAAAACTAGTAGAAAACACAAGCGAGGATCATAGACATAAGATTGAAGAAATGAACCAGTTTATTGATGACTTATTCTCAAATAAATACCTTGAAAAGAGAGTGTTTGAACATCAAAAGCAGAGTTTCAGCGAATCTTTGTTTGGTGCACCTAATTTAAGTAACGAGTACCGCCCAGTTCATAGCAGAGCAAGCAATGTGAAACAGTCTTCTCAAAACAGTGTATATCAGGAAATGGATAGGATGTCACACAATTCAATACTTTCCAGTTTTTCACCGCACAGCTCTGATAATTCTAATATGAAGTCTATTACTGATGAATCGAAGACTTGTACAAAACCAGATCAGCTATCAGCACATGTAAATAAAAACGAACATTTTCCTAACATTGTACAAGGGTGCAGATATCCCCCATATAATAGTACGTCCACCAGGCCATCAATTGCACCAGATTGTCTGTTGTTTAGAAATCCAACACTGCGCCAGAACAGCTTCAATCCTCAGGCGTATTGCAAAGTTAAAAGAAGACGTAGGATTAGTTCAAATACATGGTGTTCAGCCGGGAACTTACTCGCATTTCATCCGTCAAAGCTTTCTTCTTTTGAGTTTGTTCGTGGTAATATGAGCCTTACACCCAAACCAATTGTAAATCCGGGAAATTTTGTATTTACGCCTAAACAAAGTTCTGAAAATGACAGAATGATTGAAAACTTCAAAAAGCAAATGAATAGAATTGATTTTGATAATATTACAGTACATGAACTTAAGAGCATAATGAAAGACTACGGATTAAACCCCAACGGTAAAAAGAAAGAAATGATTGACCGACTCAGAAACACACTAAAGGAAGTTAGAACAAAGCATGAAGAAAGACAACCAAACAAAATTACGGATTGTAGAGAGGATCCGTTGTATGAAAAATACTTTTTTTAATAAATATATAAATTATACTCAAATATAATTATTTTTATATGACGCTAAAGCATAAAGGGGCAGAAGATAAATTGATTGTGTATGACTGTAGTATTGTCTGTGGCTTTGCACTTTATTGCAGTACTACTTTACTGTAGTGTTCACACCCGTTATTTTTATTTATTTTTCCAAATAAAGCCCTCTAGGAATGGATGGAGTCTCAGCTTATAACTATATACGAAGTAAGTTTGTAGATCTTAGAGAAACAAGATCTTTAATCAAGAAATATGGACTGAAAATCAAATATGGATTCCTTTCAGACGAGGAAGCTGCGACTGTTAGAGGAGCTGTGGAAAAGTTCCTTTCGGAAAGACACTTGGCAATGAACGATCTAAAAAGACACTTAGTGGAAGACACAGAGTTTCCAATACATGATCTAATTTACGAATGCACCCAAGTCTGTGAGCTTAGAACATACAAGTCCATGCACACTCACTTGTCTTATATGTATCATCCTTATATCCGTACCATCTGGAATTTAGACGAAGAAATACAATTGCTAGATCTTGTAAATCAAAAAGGATTTAAGTGGAAAGAGATAAGCTACCATCTTTCTAAGTACAAAGATTTGTGCAGACTGAAGTATTTAGCCTTGAAAGGTGAAAACAGCACCAACTTGACTAAAAGTAAGATTCAAAGTCTCCTTGCACACATGCCAGCAACAGACGAAGAATGGGCGGTTCTATGCAGTGAGCTTAATCTTAATAGGGCCTATATTATCAGATGCATTGACAGGTATTTGAATGGCAAGGAGTTGGCCCGCCCCGAAAACAAGATTTTGGAAATACACCTCTGCCTTCTGATTTTAAATAACAACCATTACTGTAAGTTTAACTGCAATATTGAGAATATATTATCATTTTTGAACTTAGATGCGAAATCATACGATATTGTTGATAAAATTGAAAGTAGTTCAACACCCTTTGTTTCTCAGAAAGGTCGAAGGGCAGGTTCCGTTCTTGTCGATGGTCTTTGTAGAAGACCGCATGAAAATGCATCCATAGATACTGGACAAACATATCCAGAGGATGACTTTGAAGTGCTTTTGGAAAATATTAAGAAAGCAAGTGCTGAAAATCGCAGCCAGACAAGATTCTTAAACAGATTTTTAGACTTTTTCAGAATTCAACCAGGTTTTAATCTTGATATTGCCATTAATAAGGATGATATTTTCTGGTACAACGTCACAAAGGAGATTAACGTTGAAAAGAGCGTGGCATTATCAAGGTTTAACCAGCTAGGTAGGGTGTATAAGTGGAAAACTTTCAAAGACGTCTACGACACTATTGCCAAAATGTCATATGATTACGTGGTTACCAGGATTAAGCAAAGTCTAATAGAAAAGAACTCAGAAGACAATGCTAGGGATAAGAACGACACCACTACGAAAGCCATAGAAAAATCGGAGAGCTCTGAGCTAATGCTTGAAAAGAATGTTAAAAGCAAAGATGCAAAAGAGAGCGAGAATATCCTGGAAAACCCTAAAAGTTCAGAATTGAGACATCAAGCCAATCGTGGATGTGAAAATCTTGAGAATCAACGGACAGACAGTGAAGCCAGCTTAACCATGGAAGAGATAAAAAAGATTAGGACCAAATCAAAGCAAATCTTCTCACGACAGTGGCGGGAATGCATCAAACAATGAGGATTCAACAGTTAATATAAATTAGCAACATCCACAAATGAGCAGAGGTATTAATTGCTAATTGTTATGCAGCAATGCCAAGTGTCAAAAGAAAAGGCTTTGTTGAGGTCTACTGTAAGATCCAGTTTGCTTTTATCATTTATAATAGAACTTGAAATATGTCGGGCATTCAACATCAGCAGTCTGGCTTTGCATTTACCTTCACAGTGCTGCATCGTCGCTAATTAAATTGTATTTTAGACTACTGGCATTTTATATTTAGTAAACCCACAAGTCTTTTGCCCTATGGAAAGTAGCTCCATTTTGAAAAGTATTTCCACTTTAGAGAACTTCAACGAAATAGCCATAGTCTTCTCAAAAAGCTTCAAAAACCAGATAAAAAGCATTTATGAAGACTTGACGATGCGATTTCCAACCAAGGACGTCTATCTAGTTCCATCCAATGACATTCTGTGCTCTGCCAAATGCGACAAATACGAAGCCTATGTCTTGGTTGGAATCGAGTGTCCGATCCATACATTCGAGAATGCAGTACAGTTCAAGGTTGAGTTAAAGCCTGAAGTTAAGGATAAAATCAAAAGCTATGATGGCAAAGTGGCGTTGGACTCGATTTACACGAATGACGGACTGGTGAATAAATCAGATGAGTTCTGTGAATCAGAAGCCCACGGCGCTGACACACCAATACTGGTTGTAACTGAAAATCAGATGGTTTTTGACTACTATTCGTATAAATATGAGAATATTGAAAAGTCGAGCGAAGATCTAAAATCACGAACCCGTGTTTCATACTTGATGAAGGAAAATGCAAGTGGAGGTAAGCTAGAAAATAAAAGAATGGTTGGTGTTGTTTTTACCAGCAGGGCTTTTGAGGATATTGCCACTTCACTGGTCAAGACTATTAATCAATTCTCACGGGCTTACAAAATATTCTTGAAAGACGTTAGCTATGAAAGATTAATTAGCATTGACAATATAGACTGCATCGTTCTTGTTGACTGCCCATTTTTCCAATGTAGTTTTGATCTTCACATTCCCATTCTGACACCCTTTTCAGTGAATTGCTATATGACCGAAAAGTGGAGTGACCAGTATAATAGAAATAGTTTTGAATGCAGCGAAACAAAAGAATTGGCAATCCAAAGCCATGCAGGTGAAATTATGGAGACAAGATGGTTTAAAGGGGCGGTGTTTAGAACCGAGGAAGAAGATATGAATATTTACAAGGGCAGAAAAGGCATAGCGACGGAATATGACGATGAGGGCAAGATATAAAATCCTTGACTGTTCTGATATGTTCACACCACAAAATAAATTCTTTAGCAAATAATTAGTGTCTGTAAAACTATACTTTCTCGTACAAATTATCAGGAAGAACGGGGAACTGACATGGTCATAAAAGCTTTGTTTAACTAAACTCAGTTTATTGCCTTTTACTAAAGAACGATGAAATATGGTTAGCCATTTTCTTAGAAATCATAGTTGGAGGATTGACATGGAGTTTCTTCTTTATGTTCTTCGCATCAGCAGGCGTGTCGCTCTTCTTCATTTTCTTATATTTTTCACGATCATCAACATACTTCAAATACCTAACAGCATACACAACAAAATCAATAAAAACCAGTAAGCATACAACTGAAATTACGATGATGAAGAAGTAGTTTCTGAAATTCTCAGGCTCGTTGATGTACAAAAACTTCGACTCTCTTAGAAAATTGTCATAGGCCTGTCTGTAATTGCTAAGAACGCTGTATCCATTCATTACTAGTTCATTGAACTGGTCTTTTGTAAGATTAGTTGGTGGCGTACTCTTTCTGAGCTTCCTAAATGCCTTTTTAATGTCGGAATCCGAACAGTTTTCCCCGAGGTTGAAGAATTCATAGTATGTTGCTGCTCTGGTAAGCTCATGAAGCCGCCCAATCTTCATTTTGATTGTTGTATACAAGTCTTGGTAGCACTTTGCAGCACATAAAAAGAGTAAACACATGGGTAAACAAAAGAAATATTAGTTAAATAAAGACTAATTTAACTAATGCAAAAGTGATGGATGTGTTGAGTCAGTGTTATGCATAGCATTTGTTTGGACATTTTTCAGCAAATACCCATGAATCTATGCTTTATTGCCTTAGAATGAATTTTCACAGTCATCTCGTGTGAATCTCTGAAGTATTCCCAACTGGTCGTCTTCTAAAGAATTCCTTATGCTGTTTAAGATCATCTCTTTCTGTACAAACTTATTTATAAAAGTAAAAGCCTCATTATCTTGCATTCCACTTTGAGGGTTGAATATCTAAAAATAGTATACAGCAGCTTAATAACATTTTAAATGGGAAGCTAGGATAGTGCAGTGCATAGAACAATTTGTCTGTGCCCATACGTTTCTATTAATACTGGAAATATTTCAAAATGCTATAATTTAGTACAGTAGAAAGCATTTGTGGGATATTTGAAAATTAGACAAAGCAGCACAAGAATGACCAAAAATGACGCGGCCAGTCGTTTAACAGCGAACAACTATCAACTGTATGCATTAAGCCCATTTATCACCATTTCCTTCTGGTTTGAAAGTTTAAAAATTTTTATCCCAAAGCATGACCCATCAATTAAAACCATGAAAACTGTTTTTCTAGCATTCCTTTTTAAAGCTTCAGCTTCGTCTTTTGTCGACATTATGGCTCAGTTAAGAAGGGGAGAAATGACGGATGCTGTCATAAAACAAGACTTTATCCACTGGTTTGGCAGGCATCTCCACGAATCTTCCAAACAAGTAGCAACCGATCTCAACTACCTAAATCATATTATTATCACAACCAGAAATAAGAAATTTATCAAAGGGAAGCATGCAAAAGAAGAAGTAATGAAAGAAATTGAAAAAGCCGAAAGCGTCTCTGCAATTTTTGATAGAAAGTTTGGAAGCCCTTCTGCTTTTCCTTTACTACTGTGCAAAATTAAGACATTAAAGGTCATGTATCTAAAAAATGTAGCTATTCCTTCTTCCTTGGAGAAGTACACTGAACTTAGCAATTTAGAAGAGCTTGAGCTGCATTCTTGTGTCATTGCGAACCTTTCTTGTCTCCTTCCTGCCAATTCAAAGCTCAAAAAGTTGATCCTTCATAGCTGCTATATTCTACACTGCACTATTGATGTGAGTCGCACACCAAATCTGGAAACCTTGGTGATCAACCATACAAATATGTACGATATTAACAAAGACATCTTCATGCTGAAGAATCTAAAGAAGATTGATTTAAAGGACAACCACCTGTCTGCTCTTCCCGTTTTTGATGACAAAGATGCTTTGACCACAGAGGAGCTGATCCTTACCCGCAACATTTTTGAGAAATTTCCGTCAAATATTAACTCGTTCAAGAAGCTAAAGAAGCTTGATCTGAGCAAGAATATTATCCAAAAATTCGAAAAGGACTTTGAATTTGACGAGTCTTTGGTTCTTGAAGAGTTGAACTTGGCTGAGAACTTGGTTAAGGAGCTGCCAAAGAATCTTGAGAATCTTCAAAAAGTCAAATCCATCAATCTTTCATCCAATCTGCTGACCAAGATTGATCCAGAAATCTTTAGGTTCCAGACTATTGAAAAGCTCAACCTTTCACTGAATCAGTTAGAGTTTATAGATGAAAGCTTGCCTATGATTCCGCGAGAGATTTTTAAGTTTACACGTATGGTTTCGGGAAATACTCCCGTGAATTTAAAGGAGTTGGATCTCAGCTACAATTCTCTACTGGCACTGCCAAACTCCATTAGTTCTTTTGTTTCCTTGGAAAAACTTAATATTGAGGGCAATCAATTTAAATCCATACCTGATCAGGTGTACAATTTGCTCAATTTACATGTGTTTAATGCCAGCTTCAACAAGATCAGAGAAATCCCATCTTGGCTGGCACGGTTACCCTATCTCTACGAGTTGAACTTGGCTGGTGGAACAAATTCCCGCATACCCACGGGTCCTACAAACGAAATCACAAAAGTCCCGATGCTACTTGTAGATAGACAGTCCAGGAAAGTTATTAAGATTACACTGAAAGGCAATCCTATCCAGGATCACTCTACAATTAACAGCTATGGCAAGATTGATCTTATAAGAAACTACAGGAGCTGGATTATTTTTTAATTTATCAAGAATAAATAGTTAGCTGATTTTGACTGCAAAAGTTTGCTTAATTTACTAACAGAAAATATGAAGAGGCCTAATACTGAAGCCTATCCTAGAAAGACAGATGTTACTTATGACATAGATAGCAGGTTTGCAAATTCTGCAGTCGCCACATTCTTCGATAATATTTTTACAGCAATAGGGTGGCTTCATCGCCCGGTGTACTAAAGTACAGTTAGATAAATTTAAATACGACTTGAAATCTAGCAATCTGCTATTTCTTCAGAAAAGCGTTTCATTAACGCTTTCTTGAAACGGTGACGTTTTAGTAAACATGCTCTAAGATTGGCATCGTTTCCACTTTCCCAGATATTTCATAGAGACTCATATTTTTGTATCCCATGCCACAAGAAGTCGGGGAAGATATCCAGGAGCAGATCCAGGAAATAGCCAATAGGATTCTAAAGAGTGTTAAGGACCTAGAGACACTAGAAATATATGCAGAGCAGCCAAGCAAAGTACACCTGGCCTTCAAAACAGACAAATCGGATAACATTCCCTCATTGGTGGGTTTTTTAGATGACATTGATCAAGAGATGGATCCAGAAGAAGGACTGAAAAGAAGCTTGTGCGAATCTGAGTTTATTTACAAGAATGAGAAGTACACCTTTAATAGGATAACATCCATAACTGAAGACTTCATTTCGGTTATTCTAATATCCCGGGACCCAATCAATGGCTACAAGAGAGGTCTAATATTGTTTGTGGATGCATCGGGAGTGGTAGTTATTGCGACATGCAAATCCGATGTTCTTAGGCAGTTCAATTTGGATTTAACATCGATTTTAGACCCAAGCTAGCATTAAATGACCAATTTTCATCAGTTTCGCAGGACATTGAAATTTATTTATAATATTTGGCATGCTGAATTGTTAAATGCCTTTATAAACAACCAATGCTTTGGGACTTACTTTATTTTTAGCTGGTTTTTGGCTTGAAAAATGCAAGCAGATTATTTTTCCTTTTTGCAAGATTAACGCCGTCCTCTTCGTAGGGTTCAACTTCAAACTCGGCAAAGACTGGACAGTGGTCGGACCCCTTTATTTCGGGTAATATCCCAGACTTGGTACATCTAATATCCTTCGAACACAAAATATAATCAATTCTTGTGCCCAGGTTTGCTGGTCTCAAGTTAAAAATCGTATTCCAACAGGTATATTTCGACAATCCATCATTGAACAACCTAAATGTATCAACATAGCAGTCCACAAGCTTCTTCATCCATGCTCTTTGATACACCTCATAAAAATAGTCTTCCAGTTCTTTCAAGCTAAAGAAGTGGTAGGGTAATTCCACCTTGCTGGGATTTATCTTCTCCACTCTGTCCTTCTTCATGCTTTGATCCATAAATTCATCGGCAGTTTCGACAATTGACTTCCACAATTTCCACTTTTCTTTCATTTTGGGTGTAATGTCCAAGCTTTTATCAATGTTTTCACCAAACTTCCTAAAGCTTATCTTTTCAAAGCGAGCCAATAGCTCAGAATGTGGCTGCCATCTATTAACACTGATCAGTGTGTTTAGCTCAGCAACAAACTGATAGTGATCTAGCATGTTATAAGTAGCGTTGAAGTCACCACACAGTATTACGCTGGTCTCTGGCAAATTTAACCTTAATTTATCATAAGCCTCTATGTATTTTTGTCTTATCTCCTCTTTGCTTTCGTCATAATACGGCATGTAGCAATTGTAAATGGAAAAGCTGCCGTGGCATGTTTTTAAGATTCTTCCAGGCATTATCTCTTCACACTTTCCGCAGAACAAATTTTTTCTCACCAAAGTGGACACTCCGTGTCTTCCCTTTTTGTAAAAGGAGCTGAACGTCTGGTAGTCTTCAAGAGCGTGGTATTTGGATAGTGAGCCATCAGATCCTTTAATTTCTTGTAGACAAACAATGTCCGCCTGGAGGAGATCTAGACAGAATTTGTTGAAATTGCCATGGTTTTTCTCATCAAATGCTCTCAGCCCATTGACATTTATCGAGACTATCTTCATGAATGGGCTGTGATTCTTTTCATCCTTGTTTGTAAAATACGTTTAATAGCCCAATACTAATTAGCGATTACAAAATAGCACGTTGTATGTATGGTGACATGAATGATGAGAAGTATTGGAATAACTATCAGACTGCAGGTCAATATAATTCTGCCCGACAATAGACAGTGGGTCTTAGTTTTAGGTGTAAATTGACTTTACTGACAATTCCGCTTTGTATAGGCACGAGGACACATTCAAGACAAAAGTCATAATTATGCAATGAAAATACTGCTTTGTGTTAGCAATCTGCTCTTTCGTCATGTTGGAAATTGTTTAGCTAATAAAAACGGTCTTCGAGCAAATACATGAGATATACTTTGACTGTAGTGTTTGTCTATAAAAATGATTTTCGTTTAACTTTGATTGCTCGTTCATGATCAACTACAAAATTTTTAATTAAACTGAGCAGTGACACCCCTTCGAATGCGTCTATTGCTTCTGAATAGTTTGGTACATGCATTTAGTATAAATCGAAAACTTCGGTTGGATTTTTCTAAGTTTGACGAGTACACAATTTCCAGTACACCACCATCTAACACTCAACAGCAATCTTTTCATCAAAGATTTATGGATGTGGAACTCCAATTGGAACTCACAGGTTTTCAGCAGCTTTCTGACGAGTTCATTCGAGATATTGAGCAGATTAGTAATGATGGAATTGGCAGTGTTTTTGACCATTTATCAAATTTTTTAGACCTTTTAACAAAGATATGTAAAATAATTGGAATTGACAAACTAAACTTTCAACAAGACTGTGTACGTAAAATCCCAGTACTCACATTGGAATCCTTTATTGATATGCTTAAGGCTACTAAAAGATATCTTACTTTTTCAAAAACAATATCTGAAGCTGTTGTGAAAAAGTTTACTAAACAATGCAAGTCTGGATGTATTGATCCTGATACCAGTGAGGAAACAAGACAAGTATGTGAATGTACAAATGAGTTTAAACAGCATATGGGCAAGCAGATATTCCACATTCTAGCATTGATAGAGTATTTTAAAAAACATTATGAATCTTACAGTGAGGCAGACAATGATGTGTTTGACTGATATGCTAGATACAAGCCTTACAATAGAATGTCTGCAGATTCTAACACTTTTATCCAGCGTAATACATTCGAACTGCTATTTACTTTAATACTGTCTTAAAACAGAAAACTAAGCAATCCTGCGTAAATCTAATGCGTTTGCTATTTATTGCTCAAACACCATCGTGTTAAGTTTATCTGCGTGGGTTTCGATGAGAATGTTTATTCGCGTTTCAAAGGAATTGTCCCATATTTCTCTTCCGTCTTTTGAACAGACAATAACACCGCCCAAGCCTTCGATTGGCATTTGCTTGATTTCGTACTTAACATTGCTCCTTGAGAGTATCTTTTTTGTCTCTGCAATGTCTCTCTGATCTACAAACACAAATATTTCATTTATCGATATTTTTTCCAAAACCGATTGCAAAATAGACTCATCAAAACTCAGCTTTTGAACTGCTTCCCTGACGTTTTGGACTATTTCTTCGAGCAGGGCTGCTTTTAATTCTTCGATTTTCAACTTGTGGTGCTGCCGCAATTTGCTTTCTTCCCTCAACTGCCTCTTTGCAATTTCCTTTGTTTCTTTTGCAAACTCCCTTTCCAGTCCTATTTTCCGGCTTGTGATCAGCTCATTTTTGATACGATTGTACTCTTCGCTGGCTTCCAATCGTATCTCTTTTACTTTAATGCAGCATTCGTGGTCAATGGCCATGATCATCCTGTTTAGATCAGCAAGCGTGTTATTGTCCATTGTTTGTTTGACTAAAATCTAGTTTGTTGTCTCATGAAACTTAATATAAAACAGGCAAATAAAATCAGTTATTAAAAGTTTATTTGGGATTCACAAAATATTTATTTTCGGCCTGTTTTCAATGTTCACGCTAGTATCAAAAACCGTAAACGTTTTGGCTAAGAATGCAAACGCACGTTGGATTTTACCAAAAAACCCGCTTTATGGCGCTTAAAAACCCGATTATTCAAACCACTGCAGACACTAAACCTTAACATTGATGAAGGACATATACACTTTATTTAATATCCGTACTTGCTCAAGTATATGGCAGCGAGAATGGACAGAATTCCAGCTATTAAAAAACTCAATGATGCATAGTGGTTGGGTATACCCAAAATACTCTTTTCACAAATAAAAAGTGACTTTTTAGTGGCTATGCCATAGCTGGACATAATTGTTAAATTGTACTCTCCAGATTGCTTAACGTTCACTCTCCCCCATAGCTTTTTAAAGCTGGAAAATGGTGAAAGAGTAATCCAATTTACAAACCTTTCATTTAAAATAGGCAGTCCTGATCCTGTAAAAGTGTTTAGTGGCGTTGTATTGAGATTAGTGTACGATGTCCAATTGATGGGCATAGATATTTGATCAGGTAGATACGATGTAAACCCGATCAAATCCATGTCTGCACCTCTCGAAATGTTGTCAGATTCTATTTCGAGATTATCAATAGTGACTATGTCCTGAAAATATGTTGCTGCAATTGCACCTGCAGGATAATATGGCTTATCTCCGTTGTAGTCAAACGGGCTTGCTGCACTGAGGTTGAGGCCTGTGGTTTTTCCCTTTAACTGCCTAAAATTAATACTTTTAGTGTATGAAAGATAGTTCTGATAAATGCCATCTACACTAATGTAAATGTAGCTCGTACCTTTTGGTAGAAAAACAGTGCTTTGTATATCTGAGTTGTACTGAATGTTTGTTGTTTTTGTGTTGAAGTATGTGTAGGCAGAGGAAAGTGCCAAGGCCAAGTTTACAATGGCAAATGCCAGAATTACTCCGCTACATCTAGAAGGTCTTCTCTTTACATAGGTTCCCTCCAGGTTCTGGCTGAATACACCTTCCTGCATTCTGCTGTAAAAGTCGGAAAGTACCATGGGTGATTGGATGTAGAGTGGGGCTAGGCATTAGAAGTAGATATTAAATGCAAAATAAGCAGGCATTTTAGTTTTATGCATACAGATAAATTCGTGCAGTGCCAAAGCAGGGCATTTACAAGGGCTTTGATTCCAATTACAGGATTCGTAGTAATCAGCCCAGTAAAATAAACCCGGGCCTAATTTAAAATTCTTTTAATGTTCCTGTCTACGATGTTCAAATGGTTTCCTCCCATATTCCATACTGAGAAATCAGAAATACAAATAATGCTTCCTACAGAAATACTTTGGTCAGAGACAATTGAGCTTGCAAAAATAACCCCACTTTCATCCATCAGCTCCCATTTGTGGACGCAACCATTAATACCCTTGTAGCTCTCAATTGATTTTACTATTGCCCACACCGGCCCGTCTATCTTTAGGAGGTCACAGAGCTTCAATTCCGAGATTTTCATTGAATTTTCCCCTCGATACTTTTTGAGAATGTCAAAATCAAGTTTAAACCTATTCTTTGGAAGTATGTCAGACTGAGAGGTTGTTATTTCAGGAAGCTCATTTTCATTTTTGATTACAAGCACATCATCATTCAGAGAGGACTGTGTTTGGGAGTTATCAGTCTGGACATTCTTCTGGGTTTCTGAAACTTGGCTTCTTAATTTAGCAATAAGCTCATCCATGGGTAGTAAAATAGAAGTGTTATCATAGCATGTTTAATCTCAAGCCAACTAGAATTCATCCAGGATTGCTTTCTATAAACATCCAGCCAACCATTGGCATTGTTTTAAATACCAACTTATATAAGTATCATTATGCTATTTCCTTATTTGCAAAATAATATGTTAGTTCCATTGCTCATCATTAACACTGCAGAACATGAAAGGACGACCTATCAACTATGGAATACCGTGTAATTGTATATACATCAATGGCAACGACGCATCAAGATTAATTGAAATAAAGCTCTATGGATCTGGCTTTCAGAGGAACCTTGGCATCAATGCGGCATCCGCAGTCTTATCTCTACTTTGTAACCAAGTTCTCTTATAAACTTTTATTATGCTTTTTATTATGTTTTCAAATCTTTAGCCATCTTACCCTCATAGGTCACCAATCAACCGAATTGACACATGCTCTGCAAAAGTCGCCGGCAATCTAGCAGATAGTCAAAGACAATGGGGGACTAAATAGACGGATGCCCCCATGCTATTCTGCAATACTGTATGTACCAAGACTAATATCATTAATTTATATTCTTTAATGTTTAGTCATAGAATTAAAAAATTACTAAGAAAGGTTTTAAAATTGCACACCTTGCAACCTTTCATTTATGCCTGGCATTTGATTCAAGAACTATACTCTCCTCCTTCTTTCTGCTTTCTTCCCTGCAAAAATTTTTAAAAAATACAAACAATCAACCCGAGCACGAAGATGGTACTTAAAAGAAAAAGAAACTTAAAGATAGACACCACAGCCAGCTACTCAGTATTTTTACTCAGGGATCTAAATCGGAACGAAGTAGAGGATTATCTTGAGAATAGGGACACAGGCATGGAGGCCGAAGAGGAGAAAGAGCTTCATCTTCAAAATATAATGAAAGGAACAGGAAAGGACATTCCAATTCCTGTAGTTGCAGAAATTGAAAACATTAGCAGATCTCGTTATGAGAAAAAAGAATTAAAAAAGAGAATAATTTGGGAAAAAGATTGTCCTAACGACTATATTGAAGACAGGAGCGACGTCGAGACAGAAAAAGAAATGCAGCTTAAGTTACACGAGCTGATTTCCAAAAGCAATCCACAGGGAATCAGCACAGAGAAGGGGTCTTTTATTCCCATTGAGACGTTTAATATTTCTAATAAATCTACAGGGACGCTAAATTCAGGTAGCCACCCAGATTCCATCATCAAGGTTGTGGAGCACGAATCAAATAGTGCACAACAAGGAGCTATTGCAACACAAAGACACCCAATAGCATCTAATATATATAAAATAGACAGCAAAAGACCCGCATTTAAAGACATAATTAAAAGGATAGGTAGTGACAAAAATGCATATACAATAAAAGACGAAAACATTGTAAACTTTTGTCTGAGGAAGACCCTTGTAAGATATGAAAGGCCGGGGTTTGAGGCCTACACGTGTTTTAGAGACAGAATATTCAATCCTACATTCAAGTCGAGGAGGAATGAGACACTAATGTTTGAAAAAATCAATAGAATGGGTGTTGAGTTTGGTACTTTGAAAAAACTATGTGAAATGTACAAGGAAAAGTGTATGTATGAGGACAAAGCCTACAAACAGACAATAAAGATATTTAAGAAGCTTTCATCATCGAGTGTGAGTAAGCTCAAAAAGAGGATGCTTGTGAAAATGATGTACAAATTCCCGGAGAAGGGGCCTGGGTCTAAGATGAAGATTAATATTTATGACATAATGACAGATAGACAAAAAATAGTCAATTTGAAAACTACAAAATCAAGTAATGAGTTGTACCTGGACATCAAATATTATAACGAAGTAATGAGTCTTATAAAGTTTGATGAAAAGGAGAATCAAGCAAATAAAGACAAAACACCAAAAAAAATCTAGAATATATAATATAATTAAATGCCTAGTAATTTAAAGCAGTGCAATATAGGTCATATTATCTGCTATTGTGTTATTTAGATATATTTTCGTTGTTAATTACATAACACCTTTACTAAAAGCTTTCGCTGCATGGACGTTCAATTACATAGCATGATGTGCTTATCAGTATGCATATGAGCATAAAGTTAGATAGTGCTTAAAATAGAAGACCTACATTGGAGCCATTGGTGATTGTTTATTTAAGAATAGCCTGCAAAGGCTTCACAGGAAAAGAATACTCTTTGATTTAAAAACCGAAAGCTGTTTTGGAGGTTTATTTAGTCTTTTGTAGAAATAACATCGTTTATCTTCAAAATGGTATTGACAAGATCCGTAGCCATCTTCAGCTGTCTAAGCTTGCTCTTGAACGTTTCAAAAATGCCTAGCTTCTTCATATTTCTCTCACCTGTTTCAAGGCAATCAACTCCAAAGCACGGCTCATTATTGCTAATATGCAGTTCTCGGAGTTTTTCAACATACTCAACAGCATCAAAGCCACTATTTTGGCTCAGAGTTATAGGTATATCAAGCAATGCTCGCGAAAACGCTTTGATTGCTGCCTCATCCTCGCAACCAAACTCTTTGGCTTTTTTATCAAGATAGATAGACAGGCTAAGCTCGCAACTTCCTCCACCATAAACAATCCTTTCGCAATCGATCATACTCCGTATTGCACATAGCGCATCCCTGATAGCCCTTTTCGCCTCTTCAATTACATATTCTGTACTTCCCCTCACAAGAATAGTCACCGCTCTATTCTTTCCGGGACTCTCAATAGTAATTATCTTTTCATTCTCTGTTCCAAGCGACTCTTCCTTTACATCTGCAATGCCCAAATACTCCTCTCTGAGATCCTCAAACCTGGCAACAATCGATCCCCTAATGTGTGATGCAATCAGCCCAAGATCATTGCCACCAACCCATCTGACAGCCATAATGTTATTTTGCATGAGAAGTGAGTTTGCCTCATCATCGAATCCCCACTGACAGAGCACTACATCAACCTTGCAGTTCTTAAGATACGTAATCATCTCTTCAAATTTCATCTTTTCGTATAGTTCCAGACTCCTATACTCTTCTGCATTTGAAACTATCAACGAATTTTTATTTTTAAGCTTTGGTGGCTCAAAAGGGCAACTAAGCAAGGCAATTCTGGCACCCTTCATGCACTTGCTCATCTGAGGATGCGAAAACTCCTTTTTTATTACCAAGCCTTTTACCAGCCTTGTATCAGCTAAGCTTTTTCCGGTTTTACTTTGAACACTAATAAGATCCAGGTCAATATCTTTTCTAGATAGATCGGCAACTGCAAGTGATGCTTCTACACAAAGGCCACTAAAGTCATATAAAGATACGATTTTTGAACCAAGAGAGGTTTTTGCTACCTTCAGCAGCTGTGCATTTAGATCCGTAATTTCCTCTGATACTTTTAGCAGATGCTTTTCGGCCAATTTCAGTGCAGTGCTTAAGCCTTCTGAAATTTTTATTGGATGCATGCCCTTTTCCAATAAAAACTTTGCCTGACTCAAAATGGCCGATGTCAGAATTACGATAGAGGTAGTTCCGTCCCCAATTTCATCATCCTGTGACTGGCTGAGTTGTAAAATAAGCTGTGATATAGGATTGTCTGTCATGTCCATTTCCTTAAGGATGGTTGCTCCGTCGTTGGTAACATAAATGTTGCCATCTTTGTCGGTCAGGAGCTTGTCCATTCCTGTAGGACCCAAAGACGAAGACAAGAAGCTTGCAATCGACTTTACTGTGTTTATGTTTGCCTCCAAGCATTCTCTTCCCCTGAGAGTGGCATGTTCTTCTTTTCCCAGCTGGAACGACTGGCCGAGTTCATCTGTAAGAATTTGCGCCATTGAGGATAAAATTTTGGCTGCAAAGTAATCTGTAAAATTGGTAAAAGTTACTTGTTGGACACTGTTTGACAGACTGTATACAAATATGTAATCATCATAGATCTGGAATGTAGAATTAAAGCGCAATTGCTTGCCAACCATATGCCAGGCACAGTCTTCCCATCACCACCGTTTGCATCAGCCATATTAATACAAATACCATATTATATTCGAATACATCAGCAAAGCCTCTTTTGTATACCCATGTACTATGATCTAAACATCGACTGCCAATTCAAAGATTTCTCGGAGCTGGACTGTGTGGATGCAAAGGGATATTGCATGTCAATGTCGCCAAAGGAGAATTACAGAAGCATATCCCCGTTTCCTGTTCCAGCTCTCGAGAAGCCTATCTACACAAGAATCAACATTGAATATCAAAACAGACTGGACCAGTCCATAATGAATAGCTTGAGAAAGTTTGATATAGTATGCATACAGAATGTTGATAGCGCCAACATCTCATCGGTCATAAAGTTAGATCCTGATGTTATTGGTCTCAAGATTGACGAAGTTAGGCATATTAAAAAGTCTTTTATCAACACACTCAAAGAGAAAAAACTGTACATTGAAATATGCATTAGAGATGCGCTTTACGGCTCAAGGGAGAAGATATTGTGGATGAACTCCTTGAGAAGACTGCTGAAACTTGGATGCGCTAGGATTTTAGTGGTTTCAACAGGTGCTCAAATTTTCACAGAGTTAAAAACTAGCAACGACATCTGCAAAATTTTGAATGTGTTTGGACTAAGTGATGATAATGTCAAGAAGATTTTAAGAAACTCAGAGGACGTGCTAAGAAGCGCAGCTTTGAAGAGATATTCGTCTCGAAATGCAATAGTAACCAATGAAAATGAAGGCAAGCTAAAAGAAGACTTTATCATTAATTACAAAAAACGCGAGTCGTTGTAACTTTAATGCTGAATGGCACATATCATTTAATAAATACTATTACGTCACTTTGCACTTTGTCTGCGACCTCTGGCAGAAGCTTAGATTTATAAAGAGATGCATTGGAGATAAACCATAGGCTTGTAGGCCTATTCATTTCAACACTATTTGCCAAGATCCTCTCAACGATGCAGCCATCTTTAGATGAATGGTGACTAGGCTTGCTCTAGATAGCTTTCCCACTCCTCAGCCAGGTTTTCGTCTAGCAAACACTCGTGCAGCAACCTTTCGCAGTTGATTATAAACTGTCTTTCGTGGAGAAGCTCAATGGTCTTTATGCTTTCCAAATCTCTCTGCTCTGTTAAGTAAAATATTCTATCTACCGCATTTTGTATTATCTTATCATTTGCCTCGTGTCTTTTTACATGCTTGTTCAGTGCATCTGCTCTAGTAAAATCTTTAGCGCATTTTGCACATTTAAATGGCCTTTCCCCTGTGTGTGTTCTTAAATGAGCAATTAAAGATCCTTTGCTCAGCGTCTCATTCCTTTTCGTACAAAATCTCCATCTGCATTTAAGCTCGTCTTGCTCGCTAAGGTGTTTTTCAATATGCTCCTTCAAGTCATCAACATCTTCTTCGCAGTTTTCCCATTCGCACTTCATTGGGGTATAAGATTGTAGGCTGTCTTAAATAAAAGAACAAGCTACCCACATTGCAGTTAATATTTGACTAGACTGTAATAAAAACTGTTACAGAATTAAAATCCATGAATTTATTTAGGTTGCCTCATCAATGTTTCAAATTTCTTCTCTGCCCTCGACATTGAGCCGAGCCTAGCCTTCAAGAACTTTTTAGCTTTCTTTGGATCATCCTTTTTAATGTAGTCAATAGCCTTCTTTTCGTATGGCATCAATCCACAAACCTCCTGGGCAATTTTTCTAGCAAGAATTTTGCTTTCACTGATTGCAAAGGACTTCCTTTTAACAACCGGCTCTGGGTTTATTGGTGTAACTTTGTGAGCTACACGTCTTTTTCTATAGAATCTCTTCATCTCCATTATGGGTATGAAAATTTTTGAAGAAAAATTTTAGTGGAGTGCAGTTGAATGCGCTGTTTAAACGGAATTAAGACGAATGGGCTCTTTGCCGAAGACTACTTTCTGATACAACTTTGTGATAATTTGCTTAAAGTTATCAATGCCAAGAAACCTTTTAGATGAGCGTTCAAATCTGCTTTTAGTGCCATGAAAAAGGTGCATTCACAATCTATGCTCAAGTGCCAAAATTTCTATTTTACTAGTGGGAAGTTGTGGCTGCACAGGTGTTTAATTAACAGGAAAACACAAATGCCCAAGAATTAAAAATAGGTAGATTTTACTAAAGATTTTAAACCTCTTTATAGATTTATAAAGTAGCATCATCGCACGCTTATTAGAGCTCACTGACTTCTCAATCACATTTAACCTCCCTTGGCTCCTCGTCATCATATCGTTGGAGAATGTTATCCAAGCACAAAAGCAAACTCTCCACCATGTCTTCGTTCTTCCAATCTAAAGGTATGAAGTCTAGCATTCCATGGCTGTCCACATATTCTACAATGGCCCGGCTAAGCCTTCCGCTTTCGTCATCTGAAAACTCGCTCTCAAAAATGTCTTCTCCGCTGATAATCTGTCCAAGCTTTTCTTCATCTAACAAGTCGCTTTTTGAGACAACATTAAGAACGGGAAGGTAAAATCTATACATGGATATTGTTGCACACAGGAGACTGTACATGAGCTTTGAGCTGTTCATGAAGTTGGTAGAGTCTATCAAGTACACAATTGCTATTTTTGCAAAATTTTTTACATGCTTTACACATGTCTGTAAAATATCCGAGTGTATAAAAAGCTCAATCTGACCAGGACAATCAAAAACAAAATAGTCGTTTTCAAAGTCCTGTAAATCGAGCTCATCAATGTTCTCACACATTTCTCTCAGAGCATAGAAAAGTGCACCATTTGGGCCGTAGTCGCACTCGTTCATAATTTCCTTCACGGTAATGAAGTCGCATAAATCCAAGTCGTAGTCTCCGCCGCTCTCCTGTGCAGGGTCGAGATTGATCAGACGAATGTTTCTCTTTGGTAGTCCGTTTTCCTTCAAATTTCTGCAGAAAGTCGTTTTTCCAGCACCAGCAGCACCAAAAACAAACACAGCATGTCCCATGGGTGGTCTGAAAGCACTCCCCAAATGCCATTCATATGATGGATACACTGAAGCCAAAATTACATAGTATAAACAGAAAATCAGGCATATAGCACAAGCACGTTAGATGAGCTGGTACTGTGCAAAAACAATGCTATGATTCATTCTTTAATAGGCCTCAAATAAAATTTGTTGGCACGCACGGTGCAGTACTTTTTAATTTCTTCGACTAGTGCATTATTTTCAAAATCTATCTCCTTTTCTTTCAATATTTGAGTGAGCTCTGACAGCTCAAACGATTTCTTATCGGCTAAAATATTAAACATATCATTAAGAACATATCCGTCGTCATCCAGTGTATATGCATTGTTTGCTAAGTGAAAGAAGCCATCGTTAGAAACTAGTTCAATTACAGTATCCTCATCAATAGACAGCTCATTTGCAATTTGGCTGGAAGACAGCATACGGCATATCTTCAAAAGCTCCCTGATTGAAGATAAGTTTGCCATCCTAACCGATTCACTATCAAATTCAACAATCTCCTTGAATCCTTTAAGGCAATATGCGCTACCTTTAATCTCCGCAATATCGTCAACCATCCATTTCTCTTCCCCAAGAAACCTTATGTCCTTTATCTCAACAGTTTCATTTTCTTTAAACAGTTGAATAAGCTTAGTTCTCACCTCATGTAGCGATTTTTCATAAAACCTGTTTTTCAATATGAATCTCCCACACAGTGGGTCAGTCATCTTAAAAAGCACTGATTTTATTGCCTGTTCGTTGGAAAACATCTGAACAAGAGTCTTTAAATTGACTATTCTGGTTCTTTTTACTGTTTCTTCAATTTTTTTAAAATCGAGCTGCTGGGTTTTACTTGGCATTTTTTCGTCGGTTGAAATGCTAGTTAGCTTTGGGGAAAATTGGGATTCTTCAAAAGACAGAGTTGTAAACTCTTCGATCTCAACGTTCCTGAGCCTGTAGTTGATGCTTCTCATTCTATGCTCAAATTCTTCTCTGCTTTCTGCCTTTTTTAGCTTTGTAGACGAGTAGTCAAAAGGACAGTAAAAATGAAAAGGCTGAAACATGTAGATATTTTGAATTTCGTAAAGAAGCACTTTTTCACCATCAAACTTTACAAAATAAAAAGCAGAAGAACGGACAGGAAATGCCCGATAGCACAGGCTCTCTGCATTTAGTGTCTTGACTTTCAGTGCAGAGACGTTTTTGGACGGTAAACTTGCTTTGATCTCGACAAACTTTGAGACTGGCTTTTGCCTCACTTCGGTAATATTCATATTCCTGATTGAAATTGGAAACCTATACAGCTGTAATGCATTTGAGCACTTTGCTTTGATAATTGGAAATTCTTTTAAGACTTCTCTCATGCCAAGTGGGCTTAAAACATAAGATTTTTAAATAAGCTACATAATATAATGATAAACCATTAGTAAAACAGCAACAAAGTAGAACAACAAAGTAGTTTAACGTTAGTCTCGGGAATTTAGTCCCTCTTTCTTTTCTTGGACTTCATCTCCTCTTTTTTCTGCTTTAGCAATTGAAAATATGCTCGCTTCTTGTCTTTAATTTCTTCAACCCTCTTTCTATTTTTATTGGCCTTCTGTTTTCTTTCCTCTCTAAACTTCTTTCTTTCTTCCACACTAAGCAGACACATTGGCTTCTTGGCTTTAAAGTCTTTCCATTTCTTAGCTAGAATCTTTGCCATGGGCTTAAAATTTTTCTTGTGAAAATTTTTCAAACCCAAGAATCCACCAATGGCCTCTACAAAAGCAGCCCAGTTTAATCCAGAAGAAATCCAACACATTATCCGTCTGTATAACACAAATATTGATGGAACCAAGAAGATCCCATACGCGCTCACTGCTATCAAGGGAATTGGCATGAGATTTGGAAAGACTGTTGTGTCAAGGGCAGGCGTTTCTCTTCAAAAGCGAGCAGGAGAACTGACGCAAGAGGAGATAGCCAAAATCCAGGAGGTCATTAATGATCCAAAAGCATTTGGGATCCCAGGGTATATGCTCAATCATCAGAAAGATGTTGTCGATGGCCTTGACTCACAGCTTGTTGGCATTAAGCTTGACGGAGATCTGAGAATGCGTATTGAGAAGGGTAAGAAGATCAGAGAGATCAGAATGCTTAGACTGGCAGCAGGTCTCAAGGTTCGTGGACAGAGAACTAAGTCTAATGGAAGGAAGTCTAAGGCCCTAGGCGCACCCAAGAGAAAGTAAAGAACGTATTAATTAATAAGTATTGTGTTGTTTTAGCTTGTAGTTGGCTCAGAATCGTTGATCTTTTTACGCTAGTTGCGCATGTGTTTGGATTTGTGCAGCATTCATCCGCGATGCTACAACACTCCATAGTGTATTTTTTATTTATGTCTCTCACAACTATGCATCTCTCTTACATTTGCGTTTAAGCCAATCCCTGCTAGGCTTGCTATTACCAATTAAGTTAGAGCATCAAGCCAAAGCTAGGTTGGATATAATCGACTAGCTAAAGATCGTATTTATTCATGAAAAATTTATTGAAGAAAATCTAAATGTGGTAGTCAAGCTGCAGGCATGGCCAAAGAAGCAATGCTTTAACGACCGATATCGCAAGATAAAACGAAAAGCATACAGACTAGCTTAAAAACTATAAAAGCTTACTTCTACCCTTTTGATAACTTATCAATCGTCCTTTTATCAAGAATATCCTCAGGTATGATCTCGTCTTTAAAAGCAAGAAGATCTTTATATGTGTTTTTGATTGTTATTTCAGTCACACCAGCAACTAAATGAATGTCCTTTTGTAAATCTTTATGCTCTGGAAAGATGTTTAAAACCAAATAGATAATCGCTGCAGCTATTGAATCGGGGCTTTTTCCCGTAAGTGCACCAATTTCATATGTCTTCTGGGAAATTGTTGATGCCACTCTTTGAATTTTAAGACTCAGATTCAAATCTGCACAGAATCTTGAAACAATGTCACCCGTTGGTGCATAGTTGTTTGTGTCTACATCTTTGGCTATTAGCTTGTAGCATCGACCTATTTCTCTCTTTTGTACGCCTGTTATTACACTAATTTCTTTAAATGTGCGTGGCGCATTCTCCAGTTTACAAGCAATGTAGAGACAGGCTCCAACAGAGCCCTCTAAATTCTTGCCTTTCAGAAGCTTCTGTGATTCTACCATCTTAAAAATGTGCTGGGCCCTGTCGCAAATGGTCTTGCAGATGTTGGATCTCTCACAAAATGCTTGTATCAAGTTCAATCCATTTTTCAGAGCACGCTTTGGTCCCCTCATGTAGTTCTTCATTTGAATTTTGGAAAGTGTGTGCGAATTCATTCCTTTTCCTGCAGAAATCATTGTGTCGAGTTGTTCTGAATCTAAAAACGGATTAGATGCACTTCCAACTCTCGACGGATCGGATTTGTGGCTGTCTTCGAAGTTTCTCCACTCGCTGGTTTCATCAATTATACGATTTCCCAGAACCACGCCACAGTTTCCACAAACATTATATCCACTTCTGTGATCTTCTATTATATTTTGTGTTTCCCCACAGTCTGTGCAAATATCTATCTGTTGTCTATACTTTAGATGCTGGGGCATGGGTAAATTATTTTTTTATGTTAAGTTTAGATGGCAAAGGAAAGGCATAGGGTAATCGGCTGGCAATATGATGGCTAAAGGTGAACGTATTGCTATCTGCAGGCCAACTTGTCTTTTATTGTCCACAGCACAATCCGCTAGCATCGATCAAGCAGGGCTTTAAATACGAATAAGTGTGGTTCCGTGGTGGACTGTAGTTTCTATCTAGATATTTCAGGTGGTTATTTGACACCTAGTTTACTGCAGTGTGTTTTGTCGGTCTCTTTCAAATTTTTTAAAAATTTTTACACCTCTACCCTCAATGCGTAAAGTAGCATCTATTCAGAGAATGGCCCGGAGAGTGTTGAAATGTGGAAGAAACAAGCTTTGGATTGATCCAAACGAGAAGGAAAGGGTTACTGCAGCGCAAAACTATGAGCATGTAAAACAACTTGTAGAGGACAACATTATTATCCGCAGAAGAGATAAAGTGAACAGTAGAGCTCATGCCAGAAAACTTGCTGAGGGCAGGGCCAAAGGAAGAAGAATGGGTCTTGGAAAGAGAAAGGGAACCAAGAAGGCAAGGCTTTCTCCAAAGAAGATCTGGATGAAGAACATACGATCAATGAGAGCGACTCTTAAAGAATTAAAGAAAAAAGGCGATCTTGTGGGCGAGGAATATCGCATGTACTATGTTCAGGCTAAGGGTAATCTGTTCAAGAACAAGAATGTGATGCTCGATGCAATTATGAAGAAGAAGGCAGAAATGGCCAGGCTGAAAGAGCTAGGTTTGCAGGCCGAGGCACTCAAGATGGGCAAGCCTAATTAAATACAGCTTTATTTACCAGTTTTTATAAAAATTTGTTGCGACACATACTACTTAATGCTAGTTATTTATTGGCTCGTCAAGGATCGGGGTGTATAATTTTAAAAACAAAATCGGACTAAGATTGAAGTAAAAATAAATGCCAAGAGACATCGGCAGCAGGCGCAGTACAATGATGGACTAGGCCAATTTACTCAGATGGACTGGCTTGCTCTTGATTTTGACAACTAGCAGTACTTGGTTTTGTAAGCGAACTTATGAACTCGTCAATTTTTGTATTTTCCCATTTCAAACAGCCTCTTTTACTTACAAATCCTGACAGCCTATCTCTGAAGCTGTAATCTACCAGCTTTGATGCATTCACACGTCTTTCTTTTGTCTTTCGGCTCTCAATATCGAATAGTCTTTCGTACTTTGGATCATCAAATGTCTTGGACTTGCTCATATAATATTCAACAAATCCAGAAACAGGTTTGAACTCAGTTTCGAGCATTCCACAGAGTTTTCTATTTATTTCGTCCATCTTGTGAATAATGCCATCTAGACTCTGCGATGGACCGTGTTTTTCCAAATCTATGCCGCTTGGAACCATCTTTCTTGTTTTCAAATCCTTAATTAGTTGCAGACACTCCATCTCTTCCTTTGAAGCTCGGGCTATTTTTTCGGCATCCTCCGGCATCAATCAGCAAAGAAAGGGAATCTACGAGCCAAAACTTAAGATAATAGAAAAAATACGAAGTCTTTTGAGACATGGGCATTATTTCTAGTCAAAATTTATAAAAGTCCGGCGCATCTAAATCAAAAGTATCAAATTTAATGCTGGGTGCTGTGATTGACTTTAGCACTAATCTTCAGGCTCCTTAATTTTGAAATTTAAAGGCTCAAACAATGTTCCACCGCCTGAGTAAAATTTCGAAAAAAACTCTATCCAGTTGAGTCGCAAGGCGTGGAGACAAGAACTCAACCCTTCCAATCCGATTAGTAGCGTCAGTGTTCCACTTAAATAAATTGGAAACGTCAAAACTTTCACGGCATAGCTGCTGCTTCCTAGTGTAAATTCATGCAGAACAGTTGTAAGCTGAACATGTGCTAGCGACACTGCCCAGAGTCGCAGGTAAGAGCTAGTATTGGATATTAGGCCGAGACAAAACTCAACAACGTGTATCCCAGACGTAATCCAAAGGTCTAAAGGCCCGGTCTCTGGTGTTTTCTTTCTAAATGTCAAGTAGATTGGCTTGCTGAGTATCATCCATGGAATGCAAATTAGTATTATTGAGAATATAAATAGCTGGACGTGCATCTGGCCGGGGTACATTTGATGCTTCATATTGAATGGATCGGTGTACATCGAGATAAGCGTATTGACTAGCGATGGATGGTTTATTGTCACCAGCCATTTGTAGACACAAAGAAACACAAGATATCCCCAAAAATGAGAAAAATGCTATTGCTTGCGGTACTGCTTGGCAAATTAGGGTTATCTTGTCCTTGAAATATAAACTATTAGCTATCGAAATTGCAGATCCCAGCCCCATGTGGAAGAATCCAATAATCAGACTAAGTTTCATTTTTAAGGAGTTTATAAATATCATTTTATTGTCTGCATGGTGCCATATTGGATCAATTCCAAACGGATATGTTCTTCCAACCTCGTATTGAGATTTAAACAGAGCTATTGGCAATGACCCAAAATCTCCATACATAAATCCGAACCACACGCAAAGAATGCGCAAGCAAGAGCCACATATCTGCCGTCGAGAATAATCTGAAACACCCCACATTTTTTATGTAGCTTCTTCTGATTGTGTATTAGAAATAACGAAATTGCCAATAAAATTAAGCCATGGAGCACATCTCCAAACATTGCTCCAAAGAGAAATGGAAACGTGAAAGTCATAAATATGGCTGGGTTGATTTCCTGATACTTTGGAACACCGAACACGTTTGTTAAGCTCTGAAATGGACTAGAGAATTCTGACGGCTCAAAGCTTGTCGGTCTGACCAAGCTTGACTTTTTAATTTCAAATAAAAACCTACCTTTTTCATTGTCAAAGCATTTCAGCTCTTCAAGCTTGTCCATGCTTTTCTTCAAAACCCAGCCTTCCCCAACATAGCACCGTGTGTTCTCAATTTTTGTTAGCTTCTTCATAGTCTCAACAATTGATCTTTCTTTGCTAATGCAGTATCTCCAGATAGAATGCCTCTTTTGCATATCTCCAAGTACCTGCAGTATCTGTTTGTCAATACTGAGATTCAATCTTTTGACTCTACTGTATCTTTCTTGGATGTCTTCATGTATTTGAGAGTCTTTCATAGCAAAATCCAATACTCGGCCTCCCAAATTTTTGATTATTGATCTGGCAAAGGCTTTGTTATCTTCAGCAAGAACATACACAACAAATACAGTTTGCTGGCTAACACTTGATCTTAACTCAACATCAAAGGTTTTTATGTAGACATTTCTCCTCAGCCTATGCTTTAGCATCTGCCTTATCATTAGTTTCTTGTCTATATTAGATATTGCCGTAATAAAGTCAAAATTAATAACCGTCGTGTCTTCTGGTTCTTTTAGCTCACTTATAAAATGCCTACTAAGCTTAATCATTTTCAGATTTTGCTCGAGTATGTGCTCCTCCCTTTGGTTCGATCTTTTTGACAACTTAAGGAACAAATATCTCTCATGATACTTGTTGATTTCACTTTCGATTTCTAACAGTGGTGTTTCGGGATAGCTTTCGCACTCTACTACTGGTCTGTCCTGATTTTCCAACTCCTTTTTCAAATATTGCAGCTTTTGCTCGAATTTTTCAATACGATCTGATTCGTGCTTAAAGTTTTTGTTATCTTCGCCAATGAAGTGCACAGTGGACGACTCGCCTAGTCTCTCGAGAACATTTCTAATGCCATCTACGCCAAAGTACAAAGAGACACATTCAACCTCGTCTGATCTCAGCATTATTTATTATTTTACAATGTGCGAAAACACCAAACTGAAACCCAACAAAAACAATAAACAGTCCAACTCCAATACATGAGAGTCCAATTTTAAACTTAGTGCCTGAATTGTTATTGATCACATTGGCATGAATTGGTTTCTATACCCACATCCAATAACTGTCAGGATTTGATTGTCTCCATGTTCTTCAAGCTTGTAGCTAACTTTGAAGAATAATTCCAAAAGATCTAAGACTTTTTGAGACTTATGATTTAAGCTGCGAATTGCCAGACGGCTAACACCATCAGACAATCCCATTAGCAGTACTGCAGCCGGTAGCAATTTTTGATCAAAAACACAGCCACCTCCAACACTTTTCAGAAAGCCTACACAGCACTTTTCAGCCATGATCTCTGGGATATCCTGGTTGTTAACTGTTTCAAAAAACACCCCATGCTTTGATTCCCCCAGAATGCTGCATTCGTAGCCAGGCGATGGGCCAGAGTCGTTTCTATTGTTGACAATGCAGAGAACCTTTGTGTTTGCTAAGTCTGTCATTTCATTGTTTAATTTTTGATATCATTCTATGAGCAAAGTCCGATCCTATTCTGGATGTTATCACAAGGCCCCTGATTTTTAGGATGTCTTCGGGACTGCACATATCTATTGGATCTACTTTTCTCACGCACTTTTGTCTTATAAAGCACGCAGCCTTCACCCAGCGGTCCGAAGCCTCTCTTTTTAACTGACAGATCAAACCTTGGCAGATTAAAAGCCCTGAACATCGTGTAATATGTTATTTTAAACAGATCCACAGAGCAGCTTGAATGGTTTGTGATCCCCGACATCTCCAGCTGAAGATCCTCTCTGAGAAACGGCGAAAGTAAAATAATTGAAGCAAGAGCATCTGGAATCCTATCAACACTTAACTTGTGCCTTCCTCCTTCTAGTGGGCCAGGGATAAACTTCAAAAAGTCCCCAGAAACTTTCCAAGTACTTTCGGGTGCAAGTAGCTTTATAAATGTCGGCACAGATTTAACATCAAGCGCACATGTGAAACACACGGGCTTTCTACTCAGCAAGCTTAAAATCAAAGCATATTCCAAACTGTTGTCTGTTACCAGAGTAATTTCAACAGCCATGGGTTCAAAACATTATTGGTATTTATGATATCCGTAGTGTGTAAACCAGCATATTAAAATGTAAATGCCAAATGCTATTCTATAAACTGATTAAATTGCTGGATGGCTGACCACTGTTGTCTCTATTCGAAAGCTTAGATTGTGCCATCCAAGCACAAGTCTGCAATATAAATGTGGTTTTGATGTGTGTCAATTGATTCGTATGCATTGGTCTTCCATCTTGTGGTGTTATTTCTTCAGCATGTAATGTGCCACTTGTTTTTATTTTTTTTGAATTTTAACCTATGAAATGTGAAGTCTGCGGAACAAGCTACAAAAAAATAGACTCACTTTTGGTTTGTGCAAACGGACACACCCTCCAAAACACTACAGAAGTGGCACACGATGACAACCCGCTAAGAGGAAGATCAAAAAGAATATACAAGCCAAAGAAAGAGAAAAAAGTAGTATTCAAAAGCGACGGTTGCAAACTGATGAGAATGGTACTTATGAGGCTGCTGTTTGAAGAGTCAATGGCATATTTTGGCATAAAAGACAATGTTGTATTCAGATACTTTACCGAATTCTTGGAATTTAAAAATGCTAAGCTAGACACCGTTTTTGACATTTCAAAGTTTACATTATCGATTCTTGTGTATTTTGCTAAGAGGTCGGAGATGGAAAGAAATGGACAGATATATCTATATAACGAGTTCAAAGATACTTTCAATAGCCTTGATCTGACAAACAGATTGATTGGCATAAAAGCTAAATTTCCAATGTTAGAGGTGGCAATAAATGAGTTTACTCACAATTATCTTATAACTTCAACAATATGCAGCTTTAGGCCCTGGATCGACGAGTTCTCAAGCCTGTATATCTATGCAAGGAGATATGGATTTGTAAAGTCGTCAGAAACTGGAATTCTTGAAGAGTGTGTGGAATCAGCCAAGCACAATATCAGAAGACTGTTTAGAAATGATCTGGAGCTTATGAAAGTGTATTTTCCAGACGATATGCAGCCATCTGGGAGTGGAGGTTATTCCAGAACTAGAGTTTTATTTTGAGAAGTTTATCTATACCTACGATCCAAACGTTGTGATATTTCCTGAATATGACTTTACCCTCTTTATTATGTCATACTTTGTTTCAAAAGGCTCGTTTGAAGGATCTGACATTGAAAAAAACGTGATCGAGTATTTTGGAGTGTGCAAAACGAACCTAATAGCGTCGCACTATGCTCCATTTGTTGATCGATTGAATAATCTGGCGACTCCAGAATTATACGTATCATATATGATCAAAAAGAGCAGATCTAGATTTGAAAATCTAAGAGGCGCAATTGAGTTTATAGACGCATATAAGCGACTCGTTGCCGAGGATATGCAAGATGTGCTGTTGTCAAAAATACCAAATGCCAAGATGGTAAAAAAAATCATTTCTAGTAAGCTAAAGAAGGACAACGAGAGTGTTGATAGTGAGGATATGGACTTGATATAAAATAACCCAGATGTAAAATAAATACGTTAAGCTAAAACCGTCTTTTTCGATCCTTGGCCCAATCTAAATATTTTTAGAAAACCCAAAAATTTTTCCCATGGAACAGTTCAAAAAGGGCTTAACAGCGAATCTGAGGAAACTTGGATTGAACAAAGACTACTCGGAGGAAATAGATGGCTTGTTTGAGAAGGGCATTCTAAAAGATGGCATGCCTTACAAAGCACTATTTAACACCTTCTTGATTCATATGAGCAAGAGGAGCAGGCTGTTTGAAAATATTATGAAAGGCAAGTATATTTTTGATTTAACCTGTCATCTTAACTCTCCATATGTGGATGCGGATCCCAATGGTGATGATTTGGCTTGCAAACTGGAAAAATCTTTCTTAAATAGAATTGAATATGTGCATGTTGAAAGACAGGATTCAAAAATATTTATTGGAGTGAGATTTAATAAGAATATTTATATGGAGCTCAAGGGCAGTGAAGTGCATGAATATCTATATCCGTATCGGCTACTTTTGTTTGATAAGCTTGTCAAAATAACCGACTATACATTTGATCAACTGCTTTTTAGCTACACGAAACCTAGAGATGTTAAGGTAAAATATGCGGAGTTTGTGGAGCATCTCAAGACCCTTAAATTGCCCCTTTCTATCACTTTTGATGATTTGCTGTTTGAAAACACTAACATTCTGCCGATTTTTGATGTTTTCATCTACTTAGAATCCAGTTCTCAATGGCCAAAGGATCAAGATGCAATTGATTGTGCAAAGACCGCGTTTTATTGCCAGCTTTATTTAAAAAGCAAGTATAGGCACAGTGTCAGCAAGGAATATTGTGTTTTCAAGTACGATGAGTTCTATTTTAAAGTTAGAATCCTGATAAAATCAGACTTTAGTGCAAAATATAAGGTACTGATGGGTCTTGGGTCGGCCGTGAACAAATTGGACGAGGACTTCCATAGAAAGGCGCACATGGCAAAAACAATATTTGCACGGCTAGGGCTTTATCCGCTTTGCTTTGACGACTGTTTTGTTGATGTAATTTGTCTTGCACTAGGGCATGGTGTAATTGGCGATTCAAAATTTGTCGATAATCTTTTGAATTTTAACTTTGATATCTTTGGATCGTCATTTGATCTGGAGACGCTAAAACTTTCTAAAGATGGATCCAACACAAAAATGCTAAAAATATGCTATACGAATTCAGTTTTCAGTTTACCCTTGCCCGATAGACAGATAATTGAGGAGACAAAAACGAAGTTACGCTCTCTACAGATACCTGAGGTATTATTGGATGAAGATTTTATTCTGCAAGCAGACCACATTCTAGATTTTGACACATCCGAGTATGACATTGTACTGTCCAAAAAGTATATTCCAGGATTTTCTGAAATCATTGGCAACATCACCGACAGCTTTGACCTCGGGACACCGGAGTTTAAAGAGTTTTCAAAGGGCATACTGTTTAAAATGGGGTATTTCTACTACAACTCTTTGTCAAGAATGCTCTTTATCAAAGCAAAGACTGACGTTGATACTGATTTATTTGCAAATCTGCTAATATTGGAAACGTCGTTTGAGTACATTAAAATCAACAAGCAAACGAAAAAGTAAACTGTACTTAGCAAACGCTGTTTGATTTGGCATTATGCATTTGCATTTAAAATTTGGCATAGTAAAGTGAACGATGCATACTACAATGCTGAATTGGACGTTTCCTGTTGCAAGCATCATGTTTGGATTAACGTCCTTACTCTAGTACGGCTTTTACGAAGATTTTCCTTCTGACCCATGGTACCTCTCACGGTCTTGAATGAATGCAAAAACAAAACGATTGAAGTACACACATCAGATCAAGATGTATATACGGGTGTTTTGTACGACTTTGATATATACGTGAATATAAGCTTGCGAAATGCCGAATATCATGAGCTTGGAGCGAAAAGCAGGGAGCTAATCGGAGATACAATTATCCAGGGAAACTTTGTGACGTTTGTGAAGATAATTTGAAATACACGACTTTTCACTAAACTGGTATTTGTTTTAAATCTTTTGAGACTTTACGGATATCTTACGAATATATCCTTCTGTTTTAATGCACACTATAGTATGGACTAATATCAACTGAAGGAAACTACTATTGCTCTGTATACACTAGCATATATCGCTAGAGCCTTTTCATTATATGAGCAGAACCGCATTATGAAAGCTAATTGCCAGCAGCATCGTATTATATAAATATAATTTAATTTCTTGCCTTTTAGTTAAATGGCAAATCCTGGATCGATATTATCAAGCTTCTTATTTCCAAGCAAGCTCAATGAAGCCAGTGAAAACATCAAATGGTACAAATCTGGCTCATTTCCAGGCCTATCGCTAAATCCACCCTCATCACCCTCACAGCTAAATATAAATTCCTGTAGCTTTTCGAGATTGATATATTCAGACTCGAGGATAGCCATCGAGGAAAATGCCCAGAAGGAGTAGCAGACATCTTCTTTTTTGCCAATCCTACCGCACAGTCCACCATTTGGTAGCTGTCTATACATCAAGAAGTCAACGGTTTTAAGCTTATCGATCGCTTCAAGATGTCCAAGTGAGCGAAGCGACGATAGTGCACAGAATGTCTGTGCTGCATGCGACTCAGACCCCTTAAACTGTCCGACGCCTCCATCGTAGTTAAAACATTCCACCAAATGCCTGAGTGTAATATCAATGTCCAATCCGACATCCTGAAGAAATGACTGGTCTATTGGTTCAGAAAGATGCCTCCGATCTAATCTATTATCAGGGGACAAATACTGACATATCTTGTGTTCCATCCCGTCTGCTGCACAGTTGTCTAGTGAGAACACGTCACATGCATCAGCTGTACAGGAGCAAATAGCTATACCTTTAGAATAGTCAATATGCTTGTAGTCTTTCATGATTGACAACAAGTGGAGTGAAAGGATAGCACAGCAGTCAAATCTGGTATCAATGTCACCGTATGCGTCGAAAGTAAATGCACCACTTAGGTTCTGCAGACTAAGCAAGAATTTAACAGTTTTGATATCGTAGTACGGCACGTTATACAAGAAAAGAAGTTGAAGTGCATTAAATGTTGAAACCACATTTGATGAATACTCTGGATTTGGACCAAAACCGCCGTTTGTTTTTAGACACGAATAGACAAACTGGATGACTTGTGGCCTAATCTGTTCAAACAGTGGATCTTTGAGCATTTTTAAGGAATTTGCTGCCCAATAAACTGTTGCCATTCGGTCCTGTTCAGTAATGTAGTACAGAAAATCTCTGCATTTCATTGTCTTTTTGATAAATTCAATGTGTTTTTCGCTCTGGATCATGGGCCAGGAATAAAAACCAAAAAGAACGCCAGCTTATTGGCCCGGCCACGCATGAGTTTTCCATGCAGGATGCTGCTGATATGGCTACAAATACCACCATTTGATGTTCAAGCAAACCTCAAATCAATAACAGCATTGAAACCTAAAAGATTGATACAAAGCAGTAATTGAAATGGAGAATGCCCGATTGCGAAACTAGAGCTGGTTGTGCTTGGCGCCAATAAATTGCTATTTTATGACAGCACTTGTTAAATGATTTTGTAATTTTTTATTATGAAATATATAGTTTTCTGGTGTTTCATGTTATTTAATAAATTTTCAGAATACCACAAAAACAATGAATGAGATGGCTCCTCAGATCACCAGCATCCTGCAGCGCAAGTTTTATGGGCTTAATCCACTGCCGTTTCCATCCTATGTTCTCTCGTTGATGTTTATATCCAAGATACAACCAGATCTTGGAACTCTTCCATTGATACTATTCGTCACTGCAAAACTTGTGTTAATATCGCGGATGGAAAGGCGCGCCACCAAGAGCATTATGCGTTTATCTGTTTTTGCCATCTTTTCATTACTTTCATATTTCAAAAATACAAGTGCCCATTCCTACTTTGCAGAAATCTTTGCATTTTTATCCTTGACATTCTTTGTGGAGGGGAAATATGTCTGGGCATCAGCGATGCTTTGTTTTTTGACCGCTACTGATCCTCTTTCTCTTCCTGTAATGTCTACTTAGTGATATTTTCTAGTAGAAAAATTTATCAAAAACTGATTAATCCAAAAAATAGTGTACTGAAAACACTTCTTGGTGGACTAAAGCCGACAGCATTATTTATATTACTTCCAATAATCTTCCTTGCAGCATTTATCAGCTTTGATCTGCATGTTAGAAATACCCATAGCCAAGAAAGCTTGGGATTTTCATTGCCGTTCCAGTCATCACTCAAGAACTTTGACATTACCCAAGGATTTATAAACTCCCATAGCCCAAATAACAGCCTAGAAACAGATTTGTATGTCATGGATAGGTCAATAATTTCAGTTATGAGCAAGAAGCACAATGCTTTTTTTTCAATTGGTGAAAGTGTTGAGGGTTCAAAAAAGTTTACGAGATTTTGTGAGATTCATAAAATACATGGCCAGGACTTTGATGATGAGGAGCCTAGGTTTATAAAGGATGGGGATTATGTTAAATTTAAGCATATCGAAGAGGACAAATTTGTAGGAATGAAAAGAAACGACTCTGATCAGAAGTTTGTTGAGCTTTCTGCTGGAACTTTTGAGAGTGACGAGGACCTTTGGCAGATTGTAACTGATGGATATTTAAAAACACGGTTTTCCGAAGTTGAATTCAAAAATGTCAACAGTGGTGACCAGCTGTGTGCAAAAATGGTAAAAGATCAGCCGAGTTTGAACGCATCATTTTACTCTGATGTAAAATCAAGAGTATTTTATATAGCGGACAATGTAAACCACGACTATTTCAAAGCTAACTTTCATGATTACAGGACTAGAATCACAACAAATGAATATCCTACGCATTCCTTTTTCAAAAAGTTGCAAGAGTATCTGAGCACAGTCAATCTGAAATTCAACAGTGTGGCAGAAAATGCTTCAGGCCTTAAAAAGTCCTGGTGTATGATGCCAGGCTTACTTTCTATATTCATTCTACTGATAAATGGCATAGCTGCCAGGAGATGGAAATCAAAGATTAGCATCAAAGAAAGCACTGTTGTTTTTACAGCAACATACACAATGGCGTGTCTATTTTCCCCAGTGATAGGAGTTAGGGCATACATTATTGCGTCATTTGGTTCACTGTCTCTTTACAGCATCATTTCAGATCTTGCCGACATGAAAAAAGGTAAGGTTGTTTTTGCAAGTGGATTTGAGAAAGATAAAAATGAATAAACACGTCCTTATTACAAGCTTCGACTTAATTCATTTATCTTAAATCGATCATTTCTTTTATGATGCGCTTGTTCATAACTGCCATCTTGCTGCGAGCAGGCTGCCTGCATATTGGCTCTCCTCAGTCAATAATGCCAATGATGTCCTCCCACATCCGCACAAACTGAAATAAACTGTGCATAATAATGTTTATTAATCTATACCCGCTCAACAACCTCAATGCACTCCTTGTCGAGTCTAAACTTGGTTGGAAACTCGTTTGCAATATCCCTGTCGTGGCATATCACAAAGAATGTCTTCTCCGCATACCGGGGGCTTCGGATATACTCCAGCAAAAATCTGCTGTGGTTTGCATCGAGGTTGTTTGTGGGCTCGTCAAAGAGATATATCTCGCTGTCTCTCAGAAACGCCCTTGTGTAGAATATCTTCTGCTTCAGCCCTCCATTTATGCTCTTGCCCCCCTCGCCAACTCCGGTATTGTATCCGCTGGGAAACGACATGATGGCGTCGTGTATCCCCATGCTCTTGCACTCCTCGATGATTTCCTTGAACGACTTGCTGTTGCCGTATGCCAGGTTGTAGTAGATGCTTTCGTCAAACAGCCTGGTGTCCTGCGGGACATATGTTATGAGTCGTCTATAGTCGGATATGCACAGTCTTGACAGCTCAATGCCGTCGAACAGGATGGTGCCTCTGTACTTGTCGAAGCCGAGAAGCAGCTTGAAGATGGAGCTTTTCCCCGTGCCATTCTTGCCGAACAGAACCACCTTGCTTCCCCTGCTGATGACGAAGCTGACGTTATTGAAGACAAGCTTGTCCTTGCATGTGTAGCTCAGGTCCTTGACCTCGATGCTTTCTGAGAACGAGCTGATCCTGATTTTTTCATTCTTCAACTCTCGGATATAGTCTAAATAAATCATCAATTTTTGTGAAAGAACAACGGATTCAGCTAGATCTCTGTAAAACTTCATGGCTGATATGAAGCAATTGGGAATGTAAACAAGAACTCTGTTAAAGTTACTAATTTCACCACAGTTGTCTTTTAAATTCATCTCAAATTCTGAATTTTCATTTTTATTTGCAATATACAAAATCGTTATACTTGACACTACAACATCGCAAAGCAAGTTGAAGACGAAGTCGTTGGAGAACAACAATACTTTACCCTTTATTGTTAGATTTTCCCATCTGTTAAGTGTTCGACTGTATCTGGACATCATTTTTTTTTCTTCGCCACTCATTTTAACCACAGGAAATAGATCCATGGTCTCGATATATTGTTTTTCCTTTTCACTGTTGACATCACTCGCTTCGTTATTGATATAGAAAACCTTTTGAAGATGGTAAAGCTTGAGGAATGCAATAATAACCATGAAGCATATGAATGATAACGAATTCTTCTTGTATGGTGAAATATCTTTTACGAAAATAAAATAAAAATCGCTACAAAGCTGAACAAAACAATTAGACATGTTCACAAAAAGAAGCCTTACTATTTTTGCAATGGCCTTACTACTTTCAGTTATTACATATTCACAATAAGACGGCACAACATCAAACACTGTCGGGTCTTCTGTAAATATCATCTGTGTGAGAATGTACTGAGCAATAATTCCGCCAATCGGTGTTATAAGCACTTCGAAAGTCATTTTAGAAACAAAATCAATAGACCACCACCAAAGCTTCAGCATCATAAAAACAATCATTTCGCCAGGAACAATGCTTGGTCTTTCAAACCCATTCTCCTTGATGGGTGGCCTTTTTTCCAGCATGTCTCTGAAGCCCTTTTCATAGAAATCCATCCATCCTCTCATAGAAATCAGAGCGAAAATCAGGGCTATATAAATGTTTGGATGCCTAGTCCGTTTTGAAAAGAAGTTATATGACATTTTCAAGGAATTGAAAAACTCTGCTCGTGACATGGCTCCTTTAGCAGGCATGGGGATGGGGATTGCTGTTGGAATTTTGAATAAAGGAGAATAAAGAAAAAGAAAAATTTTCAGAAAAATTTCCAAAGCTCTTGTCCAAGTCCATAGACATTTAATAGCGTTCGATATTTTTGCATATGTGCAACGCTTTTTAATTGTCTCTGGATGGCGCGGTTTGTCTTTTATTTTCTTATTAATTTTTCATGGTACGTCTAAATGTAGCACACAGCCTATATCAATAACTTGACCACAGCGTCCTATTATTGGCTATGCAGCATCCAAACATTACAAATAAATATAGTTGCAGTTTTCTGCTGCAGCTATATGAATTTGAGATGTTGATATAAATTCGTATCCTTAGTTTTTGAAGTAGATATAGAAGATAGAATGTTAAACTATAGAATGAGTCGTCTATAAGCTTCCTCAACATAAATTACTACTCCTAGACTGCCAGTTGGTCTTGCATTTAATTTCAATATTGTCATCTGTAAATAGTTCGCAAATTAAAATTTACTTTAAAATGCATCAGTGTTAATTCCTGTCACTAAAGGCTTAGCTTTTAAATAGCCTCTATTCCCAAGATAAACTGTGAATAACCAGCATTAATCCACAAAGTTAGATTCTTGAATGCTTGTATTAACTTTATATTTTTCTGACTCATTGTTTATAAAATTATTTTGTTTTTATTCTCCTAAATGAATCTAGCCGATCCAGCCACAAGCCAGAACAATACACCAGATACAATTCTAGGCAACAAGGTGCCACCGAATATTGGATTTCCAAACAAGATTGTAACCAGCAAATACACTGTCTACTCATTTCTCCCGGTAAATTTCATACATCAATTATCAAAAGGCTCAACATTTTTCTTTTTTATAACATTGATTCTAATGTGCATCCCAAAGATAAGTCCGTTCGAACCTTACACATACATTCTGGCCTTCTGTATCATTGTGGGTGTTTCTATGATTAAAGACGCCATGGAGGATTACAAAAGACACAAAGACGACGATGTTATTAATAAAACAATGGTAAAAATTGTAAAAATGGTTGAACGTGGAAATCAAAAGAAAGCATTTGAAATCTCTGAAAAATACTGCATGGAACTAAATCGGGGAGACTACATTCTTGCTGAAAAAGACATGGAAATTCAAGCAGATGTCGTTCTTTTGAGAAGTAAGAAACATCATAAAAACCGACTGGGATGTGCAAACCATTGCTACATCGAAACATCCAATATTGATGGGGAATCAAATCTGAAGAAGAAAAGTGCTATTACATCTCCTCTTTGTGGGAGCTTGTCCATAGACGCTTCTGACAAATCTCTTGAGCTTTGTGGATGTTGCGAATATTTTTTCAGAAATATTAACTCTTTCGAATTGAAGGATACTGGCGACTCATTTAATGAATTTGAATGCGACTTTAATATTGAAGGCAAGCTATTGATTGCAAACATTAAAAACGTGCTTCTAAGAGGATCGATTTTGAAAAATACTGAAAATGCACTTTGCCTTGTTGTGGGCGTTGGCAGTGATACAAAACAGTCAAAGAGTATGTACAAATCAAAGAAGTCAAAAACCTTGTTTGACCAACGGATGAATCTTATTCTTATTGCAGTCCTGATGCTGTATGCCTTCATGTTGGTCATTACAAGCATTGTTGGATCTTTGTTTCTTATTTTCAACAAGGAGAATGTCTACTTGAATATTTCTAATATAGGGCCTTCAATCATACAGCTAATCTTTTCTAACTATGTGCTTTATACGTATCTAATACCGTTGAGCCTCTATGTAATTTTGGAAGTGGCTAGATTCGTCCAAACATTATACATTTCACATGACAAAAGCATGATGGCGGGTGGAAAAGAATCTAAATGCAGAAACTCCAATGCAATTGAAGATCTGGGTGTGATAGACTATATTCTAACCGACAAAACAGGAACAATAACTAAAAACTCAATGACACTGAAGTATATTCATGAGAAAAACAAAGAGAATCTGTCGACGCCCAACGATCTATGCAGGAGTCTTTCAGTAATTCTGACTGATAATACAGGATGTGTCGATATGAAAGTCTTGGAAAAGCTTTTGTCGGAAGACTCTCCAAAAAGAGACAAGCTTCTTATGATTTTGAACATGCTAGTATGCAATTCGGTTGAAATTCTAAATGGGAGGGCAGAGGGCATTAGCCAAGAAGAGCTTTGTTTTTTAGAGTCCGTTGGCCAGCATGGCCTTTATTTATGCGAGAGGGATGAAAGCTTTGTCGTTGTCAAAATATTAGATAAAAAGATCAATATTAATATTGTTGGAACACTTGATTTTACATCCCGAAGACAGAGAATGTGTGTGATCATAGAAATATTAGGACGATTCTTTCTTCTGGAAAAAGGGTCTGATTCGATGCTGTTAGAGAAAGCCAGAGACTCAAGCATACTCCAAATTATCAACTCATCGACCGATTACAGGTGTTTGGTTATGAAATATAAGGAAATGTCTCCGGAGGCTGCAGAGGAGTTTCAAGAGCTTTCAAAAATAGAGCTAGAAAATGAAGATGCTAAAGACGACGAGAGAACTGACGATGCAGAAAATGACGTGCATTTGGCAAACAACTTGTTACAAAGAAAGCAACAGTTAGAGGAAGAGAACTTTGAAAGGCTTGAAAAGAACACCATATACCTTGGTTCAACATTTATCGAAGACAAGTTGCAAGATGAAGTGCAGGAAACAGTGCGTATATTAAAAGAAGCTGGCATTAAGATATGGATGATTACAGGAGACAAAAAGGAGACTGCCATCGCTTGTGCAAAAAACTCATATATTATTGAAAACAATGATTTTGTAGCTTTTGATGGCAAACGAGTATTGGATTTGATGGAAAGCTGTGTTGGAAATGAAAGGCTAAGCCAAAATGGCTCTTCCGTTCAAGGCATGCAAGGACGTGAAAAGTGATTATTCGCACGGCCAGCAGGTCAATGAGCTTAGTATTTTCAACAAGCCAAGTGTTGTTATTTACAGGGCTACGCCCTCACAAAAGGGCAGAATAGCAGCTTTTCTGGTAAAATCTGGCAGAAGTACCCTAAGTATCGGCGACGGAAACAACGATGTAGCCATGCTTAAGGATTCACATGTGGGTGTTGGGATTATGGGAAAGGAAGGCACACAAGCAGCTTTATCTGCTGATTTTGCAATTCCACAGTTTAGAAATCTTAAAAACCTTATACTTATTCATGGAAGATACAGCTTTCTTAGATACACTAAGATTGCACTCAACTCGTATTACAAAAACATCGTTTTTATCGTTGCGCAGTTCATGTACAATCTCTACTCAGGCGCCTCTGCATCGCCCCTCTATAACTCATTTACCCTCAACTACTATAATCTATTCTTTACTTCGATGATCCCCTTTTCAGTCGTTCTTTTTGATCGTGATGTAACTCCCTCGTTTGCACTTAACCAGCCTTCTAGCTATAGACACATTAGGAATCACTTTGACAAGATTTTCATTGTTCTAAATATATTTTTTGCAGTTTTTGAAGCGCTTGTCGTCTTTTTTGGCATCAGGCTGCTCACCCTGAATGACATAACAAACGGGTCGGGAATTTTAGGTGCATATGCAAGTATCAGCACAATATTCTCAATTATAGTTATCTACACGGTTGTTTTGAGACAAATCCGACAGATTTCTTACAGGGTATTCTTCACTGATATTGCCATTGCGCTGACTATCATTCTAAACATTGTTTCAATATTTGTAATCCAGGAACTTTACAATAGAAGCAACTATACGATATACTATCTACTGTCTATGCCATACTTTTATTTTATCTGCATATGCCTTTGCACACTGATTTATTCTGCCGACACAGTTTTTGAAAACGTTTGCTTGTATTTAGAAGATAGGCTAAAAATGAAAAATTAAATTGATATTAGAACCTCTGTGCCTTACTCTTTGGCCTACCGATGTAAGTTATTTAATGGCATGTGGCAATCTTTGCTACCTTTGCAGCTATTTTTAATAAACGATCTCCTATTAAAAATTTTCATGCTTGGCATTTGGGGTAATTAAAAGTGAGATACAAATGCGGACACGAAACTCCATTTACAGCCGCATGGCTATATCCAGTAATGGGCATGAAAGTCTGATATTTTACATTTTAAAGGGGCTGTTTAAAATATTTTCCCCCTCTTTGCCAAGAACAATGAACGATATCGGCAAAGCAAAGACACCAACAAAATGGGAGATCACCAAGCTTTCTCTCAAGTATTTTGGCATTCTGAGCAAAAGAAAACATCAAGTCATCTGCACAATTATTTTCATTACTGTTTTCAAGAACTATCTAAAGTATGAGGCCGACTGTACAAAGTTTCTCTTAAAAAACAGCTCATCGGTGGGAGAGATGAAAATAGCGTTCTATAAAGATATCCCTTTACAATTCTCTGTGGTCTGCAAGTAATTTTCTGACCGACTATCTTTTCGAAAAGCAACTTACCCAATTTGGTGGTTATATTGCAGTCAAAGTTTTAGAAAAGTTTTTGTTTTCAAGCTCAAAGCTGGCTTTTGAAACACCAGGAAGCCATCTTGAATACTACATGTCAGAGGGCGGCAAAGCACTTGCCAAAATAAGCAAATTCATTGTTTTCAGCTTTCTTTCAAAAGTCAGCCACTTTATTTTTGATTTCTTTACAATTATACATCTTGATGATTCAAAAAACAAAAATATTACTGTGATCTTTATGATCTCTCTGATACTGTTAGGAGCAATCAAACTTTGGAAGATGCCAAAAATCATTTATTTTAACAAGATGAACATCGACATTGCCTATGAAAAGGAAAAATGCATAAACGAGACGCTCGAAAACCTTGCGATAGTCAAAGCATATGGAACTAAGAAGCATACGGTTTCAAAGTATGCTAGAAAAGCTTTTATGTGGGAATCTGCAAACGTTTCATACAAATTTTGGAATCTCTCCACTGATATGATATTCAACTGTATTAGCACAGCTGCTAGACCTGGAATAGGTCTTCTTTATATTCTTTGGTGTAGTCCTAGCAATGGAAAAATGCACGTTCAAAACAACGATGTTTTAAATCATATGGATAAGATCACTGAAATGTTGAAGACAATTGTTTCATTAGTCAGTATCCAGACTGAGTTACTTCAAACGTACATTTTAACCGAAAATGTTATTGAGTATTTGAGGTTGGCAAATGAAGAAGTTAATAGAGAGATCAGGATCAGCTCGTTCTCAGAAAGCATCGAGGTCAAGGACCTGAGCTACACATGCAAGGACAAGCTTGTCTTCAATAACGTCAGCTTCGTCATCAGCAGGGGAAGCAAGGTGGTTCTGTTCGGCAAGAATGGCACGGGGAAAAGCTCCATCTTCAAGCTGCTTCTCGGCTTCGACAAGTACAGAGGCACCATCCTGTTCGACGGCATTGAGCTGTCAAGACTGTGCATATCCGACTATAGACGACTCATAACATATGTCCCGCAGGACACCAGGCTGTTTGACGAAAGCATCTACTACAACCTGGCATACGGCAACAGCAAGTCGTTCAAGGAAATCATCGAGGAGTGCAAGAGCATGGGGATACACGACGCCATCATGTCGTTTCCCAGCGGATACAATACCGGAGTTGGCGAGGGGGGCAAGAGCATAAATGGAGGGCTGAAGCAGAAGATATTCTACACAAGGGCGTTTCTGAGAGACAGCGAGATATATCTCTTTGACGAGCCCACAAACAACCTCGATGCAAACCACAGCAGATTTTTGCTGGAGTATATCCGAAGCCCCCGGTATGCGGAGAAGACATTCTTTGTGATATGCCACGACAGGGATATTGCAAACGAGTTTCCAAC